GAAAACAAAACAAAAATATAAATTGCCATTATTACATGTCGACTATGGCTTATGCCAGACAAGTAGCTAGCTAGCGAGTACACTTTCTGATGACGTCGTAGCCCCAGCTCGGCAACTCGCGTATGGCAGTCTATGGAACCATTACCGGGTGAGGAAATCTTTTTGTGCTGATGATGTAGCTACTAATCCAGTTTATTCATTGCGAACATGGGTTGTCTTAGTTTGCTATCATTACATGACTGACATCTGCATTCATCCATGCGTGCTGGCAAGATAGTCAATGCAATGGCTGAGGCAGGGATATCTATCTAGCTACAGTGGGGGAAAAAAAGTATTTAGTCAGCCACCAATTGTGCAAGTTCTCCCACTTAAAAAGATGAGAGAGGCCTGTAATTTTCATCATAGGTACACGTCAACTATGAGAGACAAAATGAGGAAAAAAAATCCAGAAAATCACATTGTAGGAATTTTTATGAATTTATTAGCAAATTATGGTGGAAAATAATTATTTGGTCACCTACAAACAAGCAAGATTTCTGGCTCTCACAGACCTGTAACTTCTTATTTAAGAGGCTCCTCTGTCCTCCACTCGTTACCTGTATTAATGGCACCTGTTTGAACTTGTTATCAGTATAAAAGACACCAGTCCACAACCTCAAACAGTCACACTCCAAACTCCACTATGGCCAAGACCAAAGAGCTGTCAAAGGACACCAGAAACAAAATTGTAGACCTGCACCAGGCTGGGAAGACTGAATCTGCAATAGGTAAGCAGCTTGGTTTGAATAAATCAACAGTGGGAGCAATTATTAGGAAATGGAAGACATACAAGACCACTGATAATCTCCCTCGATCTGGGGCTCCACGCAAGATCTCACCCCGTGGGGTCAAAATGATCACAAGAAAGTTTGCTAGAGTGCATTTGGATGATCCAGAAGAGGATTGGGAGAATGTCATATGGTCAGATAAAACCAAAATAGAACTTTTTGGTAAAAACTCAACTCGTCGTGTTTGGAGGACAAAGAATGCTGAGTTGCATCCAAAGAACACCATACCTACTGTGAAGCATGGGGGTGGAAACATCATGCTTTGGGGCTGTTTTTCTGCAAAGGGACCAGGACGACTGATCCGTGTAAAGAAAAGAATGAATGGGGCCATGTATCGTGAGATTTTGAGTGAAAACCTCCTTCCATCAGCAAGGGCATTGAAGATGAAACGTGGCTGGGTCTTTCAGCATGACAATGATCCCGAACACACCACCCGGGCAATGAAGGAGTGGCATCGTAAGAAGCATTTCAAGGTCCTGGAGTGGCCTAGCCAGTCTCCAGATCTCAACCCCATAGAAAATCTTTGGAGGGAGTTGAAAGTCTGTGTTGCCCAGCGACAGCCCCAAAACATCACTGCTCTAGAGGAGATCTGCATGGAGGAATGGGCCAAAATACCAGCAACAGTGTGTGAAAACCTTGTGAAGACTTACAGAAAACGTTTGACCTGTGTCATTGCCAACAAAGGGTATATAACAAAGTATTTAGAAACTTTTGTTATTGACCAAATACTTATTTTCTACCATTATTTGCAAATAAATTCATAAAAAATCCGACAATGTGATTTTCTGGAATTTTTTTCTCATTTTGTCTGTCATAGTTGACGTGTACCTATGATGAAAATTACAGGCCTCTCTCATCTTTTTAAGTGGGAGAACTTGCACAATTGGTGGCTGACTAAATACTTTTCCCCCCCACTGTAGCTACCTCCCACTGGCTGGGTGGTCGGTCGGTCGGTCAGTCATTCGGTGTTCAAACAAGATAGTTGACAAATAACGAGACGTATGTGGCAGGGTCTACAGACAATCACGGACTACAAAGGGAAAACCAGCCACGTCGCAGACACCGACGTCTTGCTCCCAGACAAGCTAAATACCTTCTTCGCCCACTTTGAGGATAACACAGCGCCACCGACACGGCCCGCTACCAAGGACTGTGGGCTCTCCTTCTCCGTGGCCGACGTAAGACATTAAACGTGTTAACCTTCACAATGCTGCCGGCCCAGACGGCATCCCAAGCCGCGTCCTCAGAGCATGCGCAGACCAGCTGGCTGGAGTGTTTACGGACATATTCAATCTCTCCCTATCCCAGTCTGCTGTCCCCACTTGCTTCAAGATGTCCACCATTGTTCCTGTAACCAAGAAAGCAAAGGTAACTGAACTAAATGACTATCGCCCCGTAGCACTCACTTACGTCATGAAGTGCTTTGAGAGGCTTGTTAAGGATCATATCACCTCTCCCTTACCTGACACCCTAGACCCACTTCAATTTGCTTACCGCCCCAACGACGCAATCGCCATCGCACCGCACACTGCCCTATCCCATCTGGACAAGAGGAATACCTATGTAAGAATGCTGTTCATTGACTATAGCTCAGCATTCAACACCATAGTACCCTCCAAGCTCATCATTAAGTTTGGGGCCCTGGGTCTGAACCCCACCCTGTGCAAATGGGTCCTGGACTTCCTGACGGGCCGCCCCCAGGTGGTGAAGGTAGGAAACAACACCTCCACTTTGCTGATCCTCAACACTGGGGCCCCACAAGGGTGCGTGCTCAGCCCCCTCCTGTACTCCCTGTTCACCCATGACTGTGTGGCCACGCACGCCTCCAACACAATCATCAAGTTTGCAGACGACACAACAGTAGTAGGCCTGATTACCAACAATGACGAGACCGCCTACAGGGAGGAGGTGAGGGCTCTGGGAGTGTGGTGCCAGCAATATAACCTCTCCCTCAATGTCGACAAAACAAAGGAGCTGATCGTGGACTTCAGGAAACAGCAGAGGGAGCACCCCCCTATCCACATCGACGGGACCGCAGTGGAGCAGGTGGAAAGCTTCAAGTTCCTCACTGTACACATCACTGACAATCTGAAATGGTCCACCCACACAGACAGTGTGGTGAAGAAGGTGCAACAGGGCCTCTTCAACCTCTGGAGACTGAAGAAATTTGGCTTGGCACCTAAAACCCTCACAAACTTTTACAGATGCACAATTCAGAGCATCCTGTCGGGCTGTATCACCGCCTGGTACGGCAACTGCACCGCCCGCAACCGCAGGGCTCTCCAGAGGGTGGTGCGGTCTGCCCAACGCATCACCGGGGGCAAACTACCCGCCCTCCAAGACACCTACAGCACCCGATGTCACAGGAAGGCCAAAAAGATCATCAAGGACAACAACCACCCGAGCCACTGCCTGTTCAACCCGCTATCATCCAGAAGGCGAGGTCAATACAGGTGCATCAAAGCTGGGACCGAGAGACTGAGAAACAGCTTCTATCTCAAGGCCATCAGACTGTTAAATAGCCACCACTAGGCGGCTTCCACCCAGTTACCTAACCCTGCACCTTAGAGGCTGCTGCCCCTTATACATAGACTTGAAATCACTGGCCACTTTAATAATGGAACACTAGTCACTCTTAATAATATTTACATATTTTTGCTTTACTCATCTCATATGTATATACTGTATTCTATTCTACTGTATTTTACTCTATGCCACTCCAACATTGCTCATCCTAATATTTGTAATATTTATATATTCCTTAATTCCATTATTTTATTTTTAGGTTGTGTATTGTTGTGAATTGTTAGATATACTGCACGGTTGGAGCTAGAAACACAAACATTTCGCTACACCCGCAATAACATCTGCTAAACAATGTGTATGTGACAAATACAATTTGATTATGATTATTGATTAACACAGCTAGCTAACTAGCTAGTTACCTGGTTAGGTAGTTGGGTGCTACAGATGGGCTAGCTAACGTTAGCTAGATAGCTACAGTACGTCTGTTTTTGAAGACATGCATGCATGCTGCACATTGGCGGTGGGTTTAGATTGGATAAATTAAAACACCGTGAGATAATTGTCGCTATTTTCATACATGGAACAGATCAGCTATCTATCCAAAATTGCAATTAGAGCTGCAAACAAGGCAATGTAGCTAGCATTTCCTCCATGAACGAAGCAAACCTAGCTTGCTACCAACCTAGAAAAATGGAGGCTTGATAGTAGTGTTGATGATTTTATAGAAATGTTAGAAAACGGAGTATATTCATTATTCATTAGATAATCTAGCTAGTCCGGGGGTAGTCTGCATAGGGTTTCCTATGCGTTCTCTAGTCCAGCTTTCCGACGCTCGCAACCCGGAACTAGGAGAAGGCTTTGTTTCCAACCGGTCTGATTTGGTCTATAGCCTTGGCAAGCATTCTTAGAAAAACTTAACACATGCTTCTGATTTTTGACACATTGCCTATTTTTTTAATAAAATATACTATTCAATATAATAACGACAATTATTGAGGTTAGATTTTAAGTCGATTTATATACACGTTTCAGGTTATAGTTTTATAGCGTAACCACGTTTTTTTATTTTCTTCTGTCTAATGTTGCTGAAAAAATATTTATGGAAACATGTAGGAAAACATGAAACCTATTGGTCTATAGTTGGAAATCAAGCCTAGACCTGTATTAATGTATGTTTCTAACAACTGAAACGGTTTAAATGGAAAGGCTGTGACAGCTGGTAAAACAGATCAGTCTGGGGGGTCTATGTGGGACAGACTCTCCAAGCCCTTCAAAATCAACAGTTAGACCCTACTCGCTAATAGGTTGACCTAATACATGGGCTCGTGCTAATCTAAAATCTCTCTCTTTTTTTTTTCATTTTCAAAGTAGCCCACTGCTAAGGCATAATGCAGGGAGGTATAAGGAGTGGGGTACATAAAAGACACACTCACACACACAAGGCGGAGTTACAGAATGCACCAAGTCACTGCACTGGCTCTCTCTCTCTCTCTCTCTCTCTCTGTTTAGCTGAATAGAAGTTGGGAGGGTAGGTTAACTTGGAAATGAAGTGGTCGAATACGTGACCGAAATCTCAACAAGACCACCCCAATCTGTAAATATGTAACGGCCGGACTAAACCTTGAAGAATATTTCTGAATGGAAAACATGGAATTCCCTATAAGAAGCACAAAGAAGCTGTGTTTTTGCGCCGCGCTGTTGTGGTCGCTTGTGAGCGACCTGGCACTGGGAGGTAAGATCTCTGACAATTCCAACTTTCCGCCGGGGAGCCGAGAATGATTGTAATCTCTATACATTGTGTTTTAGGTGGTCTATATGTGTTTGACACTAATTCACGAATGTATTTTTAAGCGCTATTACGCTCAACTTTCACCGTTTTTTTTCTGTGTGCGAGAATATGAACACTAGCCACCACAATTGGGCTTTGGTCCTGAGCTCACTTGACAAGTCTTGACTTTAATTTCATTTTATTCGACGTATAAACACAGTTTAATAGTGGTGATACCAGACTTGACGCTATGTGTCTTCCAATGACAGCTCAATATTGAGTTATAAAGCTATAATAACATAAGTCATAATTGTGATGAAGAAATCGATGATATCCAGCATTTCAAAAATTAAATTAAGTAAAAAAATAAGTTATCACTTTCAGAATATAAAACTGCCCAGAGGGTTGCCCATGGCTACACACAGACATCATTTTATAAAGAAAACATTGTCCACAATAATAGGTTTTACTGCACAGTGAAGACACATTGTATAACACAGAATCATCATTTTGAACTGGAGACTGAATCTCAACTCTTAAAATAATAAGAATATGCCATTTAGCAGACGCTTTTATCCAAAGCGACTTACAGTCATGCGTGCATACATTTTTTTTTTTGTGTATGAGTGGTCCCGGGGATCGAACCCACTACCTTGGCATTACAAGCGCCGTGCTCTACCAGCTGAGCTACAGAGGACCACGACTCTTGAACTGAAGACATGAAAAATCACATTACTGGAAATGAAATGACCCCAGAGAAATAGATAGTAAGGTCGCTCGCGTCCCAAATGGGGAATCACCCTATTCCCTATACTGTAGTGCACTACTTTTGACTATAGCCCTATGGGTAGTGCACTACATAGGGAATAGGGTGCCATTTGCGACGTAGCCCCTGGTCTCATTGGAATAAAGGGCCCGAAAAGTAATTAGTGACATCATTCATTTCTTCCTTATGATTACACATACCCTAATACATAAAAGCAATTTCTATTTAAAGCAAACAGTCATTAGGCTGCTGTGTAATATATTTAGTAAATGGAATGTGAATAATCTAGATGAAGAGTTTTATTTTCGAAACTGCTATATACACAAATGTTTCATATTTGTGTTTTTTTTAAATCAGAAATTGCTTATGGGTACCTTCGTGTTAGTGTCAAATAGTACTGTTCTCAGATGTTTAATTCATAGATTTTTTATCTGTATGAACATGTGTATATTTGACTGTGATATGTGTGTGGTTGTCTCACCTAACTAGCTTAAGATGAATGCACTTACTCTAAATCACTCTGGATAAGAGCATCTGCTAAATTACTAAAATGTCAAATGTAAATGTTTTACAAACAGATCTCATATTACTGTATATAATAATAATAATTATATATATTTTTAAATATTGATGTCACAAATGTATAATTTGTACAGTTCTTTATAAAAAAAATAGTTATTTCTTACATTAGACGGTGTAAAACCTAGCAGTACTACTTATTTCTCTGATAGTGTGGAGGATATATAGCATTTAGCAGCAAAACAACAACTGTATTTGACCTTCTAAAATGAAACCATCAAGTGATAGATTTTTAACAAATACATGTCTGTCATTGAACAACCCCGTGCCATGATTAAATAGTGAAAACAACACACCAATCATAAGTTCTTTAAACAATAAAAGCTCATTTTCCAACATTTCTGAAAATGGATATATTTGTATTTTTGTATTTGTATTGAAAATTGATACACTACCGTTCAAAAGTTTGGGGTCACTTAGAAATGTCCTTGTTTTCGAAAGAAAAGCACATATTTGGTCCATTTAAAATAACATCAAATTGATCAGTATGAAAAAAAATGTATGCACTCACTAACTGTAAGTCGCTCTGGATAAGAGCGTCTGCTAAATGACTAAAATGTAAAATGTAAAATGTAATCAGACATTGTGTCTACATACAGTGTAGACATTGTTAATGTTGTAAATGGCTATTGTAGCTGGAAACGGCTGATTTTTAATGGAATATCTACATAGGCGTACAGAGGCCCATTATCAGCAACCATCAGTCCTGTGTTCCAATGGCATGTTGTGTTTGCTAATCCAAGTTTATCATTTTAAAAGGCTAATTGATCATTAGAAAACCCTTTTGCAATTATGTTAGCACAGCTGAAAACTGTTGTGCTGATTAAAGAAGCAATAAAACAGGTCTTCTTGAGACTAGTTGAGTATCTGGAGCATCAGCAATTGTGGGTTCGATTACAGGCTCAAAATGGCAAGAAAAAAATAACTGTCTTCTGAAACTCGTCAGTCTATTCTTGTTCTGAGAAATAAACGCTATTCTATGCGAGAAATTGCCAAGAAACTGAAGATCTCGTACAACGCTGTGTACTACTCCCTTCACAGAACAGCGCAAACTGGCTCTAACCAGAATAGAAAGAGGAGTGGGAGGCATCCCGGAGTCGCCTCTTCACTGTTGACGTTGAGACTGGTTTTTTTGTGGGTACTATTTAATGAAGCTGCCAGTTGAGGACCTGTAAGGCACCTGTTTCTCAAACTAGACACTCTAATGTATTTGTTCTCTTGCTCAGTTGTGCACCGGGGCCTCCCACTCCTCTTTCTATTCTGGTTAGAGCCATTCCCAGCTACAATAGCCATTTACAACATTAACAATGTCTACACTGTATTTCTGATCAATTTCATGTTATTTTAATGTACAACAAAATTGCTTTTCTTTCGAAAACAATGACATTTCTAAGTGACCCCAAACGTTTGAACGGTAGTGTACATAGCGTTTTGGAAAGAAACTCTTCATATATAGATCTATTCATTTACAGTTTAATGATGAATATAATCTGAATGAACATAGCATAGAATCCTGTCTTCAAGGAGTCAGGTGTTTGTTTGTACAGTGCATTCGGAAAGTATTCAGACCCCTTTACTTTTTCCACATTTTGTTACATTACACCCTTATTCTAAAATTGATTAAATAAAATGTTTTCCTCATCAATCTACACACAATACCCCATAATGACAAAGTGAAAATAGGTTTTTAGAATTGGACATGATTTGGAAAGGCACACACCTACCTATATAAGATCCCACAGTTGACAGTGCATGTCAGAGCAAAAACCATGCCATGAGGTCGAAGGAATTGTCCATAGAGATCCGAGACAGGATTGTGTCGAGGCACAGATCTGGGGAAGTGTACAAAATAATTTCTGCCACATTGAAGGTCCCATGTTTCATGAGCTGAAATAAAAGAGCCATGACATTTACCATACACACGAAAAGCTTATTTCTCTAACATTTATGGCACAAATTTGTTTACATCCCTGTTGGTGAGCATTTTGTCCTTTGCCAAGATAAGAATATCAAGAAGCTGATTAAACAGCATGATCATTACACTGTTTAAACTTTTATTTAAACAGGGAAACATATTACGACCTAGGTCTCTATATATACAACATAAATATACACATTATACCCAAACATATACACATTAAAATACAAAAATATAACAAATCACCCCAAAAAAACTGTTACAATCCTCCACAAATAAGTCCCCAATCAATTCTTCATGTCATCTTTCTGGGTAAATTTAGGCGACAGAAACATGTATTTTGAACCAGCCACAGACCATCTGAACCAGCCACAGACCTCTGAACGCAGGCCACAGACGCTCCTAAAAACCCAGCCACAGACCTCTGAACCAGCCACAGACCTCTGAACCAGCCACAGACCTCTGAACCAGCCAGACCTCTTTTATTTAAATAGTTGATATTCTCTTCTCTAGATCAATAATTTGGGAAGATTAATTAACTATCCTGTGGGTCGTGGGCCCCCAGATAGCAACACATCATAAGCAATGGCAAAATGGTGGTTGAATCAGACAGAGCCTCTACCAACAAAACTTCTAAAAACAATGTTTTACGTTGGGAGCCCACCTGGAGAAGCACAGACCTTACCAGCCACAGACTCGACACCCTGGCCAAATCCTCTTGAACAGCACCACAATACTCTGAACCAGCCACAGACCTTCTGAAAAGCGCATCTCTTTTTAGCAATAGTTGATAACCGTCTCATCAAATTTGGGAGATTTAACTACCATTGGGGTCACATGGGGCCCCCAATAGGCAACACACATTTAACAACATGTAATGATAGTCTCCAAAATTCAAAATTAGGTGGCCCGGGTCCGGCCAGGTCACCAATTCTTCGGATTAGGATGGTCACCCAACACCATTGAAAGGGGCATTCACCACATCATTAGGGTCACCACACCATTAGGGTCACCACACCATTAGGGGTCACCAGCACCATTAGGGTCCAACCCACACCATTAGGGTCACCACACCGATTAGGGTCACACACCATTAGTGGTCACCACCCATTAGGGTCACCACAACCGTTAGGGTCACCACACCATTAGGGTCACCACACCATTAGGGTCACCCAAGGGTCACCACACCATTAGGGGTCACCACACCTTAGGGGTCACCACACCATTAGGGTCACCACACCATAGGGTCACCAGCACCACATTAGGGGTCACCACACCATTAGGGTCACCAACCATTAGGGTACACCATGGGTCACCACACCATTAGGGTCACCACACCATTAGGGGTCACCAAGGGTCACCACACCATTAGGGTCACCACACCATTAGGGGTCACCACACCATTAGGGGCCCAAACCATAGGGTCACCACACCATTAGGGTCACCACACCATTAGGGTCACCACACCATTAGGGTCACCACACCATTAGGGTCACCACACCATTAGGGGTCACCACACCATTAGGGTCACCACACCATTAGGGTCACCACACCATTAGGGTCACCACACCATTAGGGGTCACCACACCATTAGGGGTCACCACACCATTAGGGTCACCAAGGGTCACCACACCATTAGGGTCACCACACCATTAGGGTCACCCAAGGTCCCACCATTAGGGTCACCACACCATTAGGGGTCACCACACCATTAGGGGTCACCAGGGCACCAACCATTAGGGTCACCAACCATTAGGGTCACCAACCATTAGGGTCACCACACCATTAGGGTCACCACACCATTAGGGTCACCACACCATTAGGGTCACCACACCATTAGGGTCACCACACCATTAGGGTCACCACACCATTAGGGTCACCACACCATTAGGGGTCACCACACCATTAGGGTCACCAAGGGTCACCACACCATTAGGGGTCACCACCATTAGGGTCACCACACCATTAGGGGTCACCACACCATTAGGGTCACCACACCATTAGGGTCAAACCATAGGGTCACCACACCATTAGGGTCCACACACCATTAGGGGTCACCACACCATTAGGGTCACCACACCATTAGGGTCACCACACCATTAGGGTCACCAAGGGTCACCACACCATTAGGGGTCACCACACACCCATTAGGGTCACCACACCATTAGGGGTCACCATACCATTAGGGGTCACCACACCATTAGGGGTCACCACACCATTAGGGTCACCACACCATTAGGGTCACCACACCATTAGGGTACCACAACACACACCGTTAGGGTCACCACACCATTAGGGTCACAGGTCACCACCATTAGGGGTCACCACACCATTAGGGGTCACCACACCATTAGGGTCACCAACGGGTCACCACACCATTAGGGGTCACCACACCATTAGGGGTCACCACACCATTAGGGGTCACCACACCATTAGGGTCACCACACCATTAGGGTTCACCACACCATTAGGGTCACCACACCATTAGGGTCACCACACCCATTAGGGTCACCACCATAGGGTCACCACACCATTAGGGTCACCACACCGTTAGGGGTCACCACACCATTAGGGTCACCACACCATTAGGGGTCACCAAGGGTCACCACACCATTAGGGTCACCACACTTAGGGTCACCCACCATTAGGGGTCACCACACCATTAGGGGTCACCACACCTAGGGTCAACACATTAGGGGTCACCACACCATTAGGGTCACCACAACCATTAGGGTCACCAACCATTAGGGTCACCACACCATTAGGCACCAACCATTAGGGTCACCACACCATTAGGGTCACCACACCATTAGGGGTCACCAGGGTCACCACACCATTAGGGTCACCACACCATTAGGGTCCACCAAGGGTCACCACACCATTAGGGGTCACCACACCATTAGGGGTCACCACACCATTAGGGTCACCACACCATTAGGGGTCACCACACCATTAGGGGTCACCACACCATTAGGGTCACCACACCATTAGGGTCACCAAGGGTCACCACCCATTAGGGGTCACCACACCATTAGGGTCACCACACCATTAGGGTCACCACACCATTAGGGGTCACCACACCATTAGGGTCACCACACCATTAGGGTCACCACACATTAGGGGTCACCACACCATTAGGGTCACCACACCATTAGGGTCACCAAGGGTCACCACACCATTAGGGGTCACCACACCATTAGGGTCACCACACCATTAGGGGTCACCATACCATTAGGGGTCACCACACCATTGGGGTCACCACACCATTAGGGGTCACCACACCATTAGGGGTCACCATACCATTAGGGTCACCAAGGGTCACCACACCATTAGGGGTCACCACACCATTAGGGTCACCACACCATTAGGGGTCACCATACCATTAGGGGTCACCACACCATTAGGGTCACCACACCCCATTAGGGGTCACCACACCATTAGGGTCACCACACCATTAGGGTCACCACACCATTAGGGGTCACCACACCATTAGGGTCACCATACCATTAGGGGTCACCACACCATTAGGGTCACCACACCATTAGGGTCACCATACCATTAGGGGTCACCACACCATTAGGGGTCAGTCCTGATACCATGACAGGGCTGTAGGGGGAGCTGTGATGATGGATGGTTGCTATCTGAACGTTCCCATACAAGTTCTATAGTGCACCACCAAAGCCGTACATATACCCAGTTGGTAGAGCATGGCGTTTGCAACGCCAGGGTTGTGGGTTCGATTCTCACGGGGGGGGGGGGGGGGCAGTAATAAAATAAAATAATGTATGCACTCACTAACTGTAAGTCGCTCTGGATAAGAGCGTCTGCTAAAATGACTAAAATGTAAATGTAAATATATACAAAATATATGGGATTTAAAATATATGGGATTTAAAATATATACAGTGGGTATGCTGTAGTGGGTATACTGTAGTGGGTATGCTGTAGTGGGTATGCTGTAGTGGGTATGCTGTAGTGGGTATGCTGTAGTGGGTATACTGTATTGGGTATACTGTAGTGGATATGCTGTAGTGGTATAACTGTAGTGGGTATGCTGTAGTGGGTATGCTGTAGTGGGTATGCTGTAGTGGGTATACTGTATTGGGTATACTGTAGTGGATATGCTGTAGTGGGTATACTGTAGTGGGTATGCTGTAGTGGGTATGCTGTAGTGGGTATGCTGTATTGGGTATACTGTAGTGGGTATGCTGTAGTGGGTATGCTGTATTGGGTATACTGTAGTGGGTATGCTGTAGTGGGTATACTGTAGTGGGTATGCTGTAGTGGGTATACTGTAGTGGGTATGCTGTATTGGGTATACTGTAGTGGGTATGCTGTAGTGGGTATACTGTAGTGGGTATGCTGTATTGGGTATGCTGTAGTGGGTATACTGTAGTGGGTATGCTGTAGTGGGTATACTGTATTGGGTATGCTGTAGTGGGTATGCTGTAGTGGGTATACTGTAGTGGGTATGCTGTAGTGGGTATGCTGTAGTGGGTATACTGTAGTGGGTATGCTGTATTGCCTTGCTGACTGTACGCCAACAATACTGCATGTTTGACCTCATGCACTGTTAGATGATGCAGAATGTATTAGAGAAGAGAAGGAAAGCTACAAACCCAGCCTGCAATAGATGCTACCCTGGGAAACGACTGATTTTGAAGTTTTAGCTGTTGGCCATTGATCTAACTAACACTCCTGTGAAGAGGTTGTCCAAGGCCACAGCCTCATCGACATGGCCTGCTAGTCTAATAGGCTAATTGCTGTGTTCAATATCACACTGTGCTGCACTGTAGCGCTGTAATGGATGTATTAAATAATACATTAATTGGAAAGCATTGAGTTTGACCAAGTACAAGCTGTGAGTTGACACATTTGGCAGAGCAATGGATTGGGTCAGTACTGCATAGCTAATGCCTCTTATTATAATAATAATAATAATTATAATAATAATTATAATAATAATAATATGCCTCTTAGCCTGCCTTTGGCCCTACGACACCATGATTAGTGCGAATAGGCTCCTCAATGCCCAGAACTTACACAACACATTTATTTGGGTGAAAACTGAAACATCTTTGGGTCCTTGAAAAGTACTGTATAAAACACAAGTATTATTATGCTTATTTAAGGTGACATTGTGTGCATTGAACCCTCTAAGCTAAGGGATTTAAGAGCGTTGTGGTTGGTAGAACAGGCACTTCTTATTTATTGAGGTAAAAACTAAAGCCGACTGTGAGTTGAACACTCTGAGCGTGGGATCATGGACTAGCAGTAACATCCGGGTGGTTGGTAGACAGGCCCACAGAGGATTTTGGGACTAGCGAAGATCGGGGGTTTTTGGGTAGACAGGACCATTTGTTGGACTACCCGAAAACACTTTAAAGGGGGTTGGGGTGAGGGGACACTGGGATTTTGGGACTAGAAAAGTAAAAATCGGGGTTTGGTTGGTAGACAGGAAACCGGAAGGGGTTGGACTAGCGGGAAAAACTTTCGGGTGATTGGTAACAGGACAGAGGATTTTTGGCCTACAGAAAGATGGGGGTTTTTTTGGGTTTAGAAAAGGACAGAGGATGTTGGGACTAGCAGTAACATCAGGGTGGTTGGTAGACAGGACACTGGTTTTTGGCCAAAAAAAGTAACATGGGGGGTGGTTGGTAAAACAGGACACAATTTTTTTGGGATAGCAGTAACTTTCAGGGGGGTTTGGGGTTTAGACGGGACACAGAGGATGTTGGACTAGAAGAAACATCAGGGGGGTTTGGGGAAAAGGCCCACTGGGATTTTGGGGCTAGCAGTAACTTTCGGGGTGATTTTTTAGACAGGAAACTAGGAGTTGGACTGGGCAGAAGATCAGGGGTTTGGGGTAGACAGGACGGGGAAAATTTTTAAACCTAGAAATTAAGATCAGGGTGGTTGGGGGGACAGGACACTAGGATTTTGGACTAGCGTAAGATCAGGGGGGTTGGGTAAAACAGGACAGGGGATGTTGGGCCCTAGAAATTAAACATAAAGGGTGGTTGGTAGCCCGGCCCCACTAGGATTTTGGACTAGCAGTAAACTTTCGGGGGGTTTTGGGGGAAAAGGGACACAGAGGATTTTTGGGAACTGCAGAAACATAAGGGGGGTTTGGGGAAAGGACACTAGGATTTTGGGGACTAGCAGTAACACCCGGGGTTTGGTGACGGGGACCCGGGGGGGGGAATGTTGGCTAGCAAAATCAGGGTGGTTGGTAGAGGGGGAACACTGGGGTTTGGGAAACTGGGCGAAAGATCGGGGTGTTGGTAACAGGCCACAAAGGATTTTGGACTAGAAAGTAACATCAGGGGGGTTTTGGTAGACGGGCATTTAGGATTTTGGGGAATAGCAAGAAAAACATCGGGGTTTGTTGGTAACGGGGACGGGGGATTTTGGATAGCGAAAACCATCAGGGTGGTTGGTAGACAGGACAAGGATTTTGGATGGGCAGTAACATCAGGGTGATTGGGGTAGACAGGACAGGGGATTTTGGACAAAGCGGGTAAAGATCAGGGTGATTGGGTAACGGGCCCCAAAGGGGATTTTGGGATAGCAGAAAGGGATCGGGGGGGGTGGTTGGTGAGAAAAGGGCCCAAGGATTTGGGACAGCAGTCCCATCGGGGGTGGGTTTGGTAGACAGGACAGAGGATGTTGGACTAGCATTTAAGCGGGGTTTATTGGTAGACGGGAAACACGGGGGATTTTTTGGGGAACTACCCGTAACATCGGGGTGTTTTGGTAACAGGAAAATAGGTTTTTGGAACTAGAAAGTAAAAATCAGGGGGGTTTTGGTAAAACGGGACAGAGGAGGTTGGACTCCCCAAGAAAAACATCAGGGGGGTTTGGGTAAAACAGGGACGAGGATGGGGTGCATTAACATAGGGGGTTTGGTAAAAAAGGGACACTAGGGGTTGGGGACGAGCATAAATCAGGGTGTTGGAAACCCGGCCCCCGAGGATTTTGGGAAACCGAGAGTAACACCCGGGTTTTTGGTAGACAGGAAAACAGAATTTGGGGAACAGCAGTAAAAATCAGGGGGGAATTGGTAACAGGACACTAGGATTTGGAAACCCGAAACCTCGGGGTGTTTGGGTTAGACGGCCGGGGAAAGGTTGGACTACCCAAAAGATTGGGGGGGATTGGGTAACAGGAAAAAGGAGGATTTTGGACTAGCAGAAACACAGGGTGGTTTGGAAAGACAGGAACAGAGGATTTTGGGCCCTAGCAAAAACATCAGGGTGATTGGTAGACAGGACACTAGGATGTTGGACTAGCAGTAACATCAGGGTGATTGGTAGACAGGACAGGGGATTTTGGGACTAGCAAAAAATCGGGGTGATTGGTTGACAGGACAGAGGATCGGGGACAAACAGTAAAAATCAGGGTATTGGTAGACGGGACACAAGGAATTGGACTAGCAGTAAGATCAGGGGGGGTAAAACGGGACCTGGATTTGGACAAACATTTCAAATTCAGGGGGGTTGGTAGACAGGAAAAAGGGTTTTTGGGAATAGCAAAACCCATCAGGGGTTGGTGGGCAGGACACTAGGGATTTTGGGACTGCATAACATCAGGGGGGGGATTGGTTAGACAGGCCCGGGGAATTTTGGGAAACTAGAAATTTAAGATCAGGGTGTTTGGGGGTAGCCCGGACACAGGGGGAATTGGACTACGTAAGATGGGGGGTTGGTTGGTAGACGGGAAACCCCAAGGTTTTTGGGACTAGCAGTAACATCAGGGGGGGTTGGGGTTAGACGGACAGGGGGAAAAGGTTGGACTAGCAGTGATAGGGGGGTGTTTGGTAGCCCGGGGGACACAGGATTTTCCTAGCAAAACCTCAGGGGTTGGTAGAAGGACACAGGGATTTTGGACTACCCGGGGAAAACATCGGGGGTTTTTGGGAGAAAGGAAAAAAGGAGGGGGTTGGTTTATTTTTACAGAAAACATCGGGGTGGTTGGGGGGGAAGGGGGGACAGAGGATGTTGGACTACCCAGAAACCCATCGGGGGGTTGGTAGAAGGCCCTAGGATTTTGGGGACTAGAAAGAACATCAGGGTGGGTTTGGAAAGACGGGAAACACAGGGATGTTGGTACCCAGTAAAAATTCAGGGGGGGGGGGTTTTAACGGGAAACAAAGAGGAGGGTTGGCCTAGAAAGTAAACATGGGGGTGATTGGTAAAAAGGGACACAGAGGAGTTGGGCTAGCAGAAACCATCAGGGGGGTTTGGTTAGACGGGGCATGGATTTTGGACTAGCGTAACATCCGGGGGTTGGTAAAACGGGAAAAGAGGATTTTTGGGACTGCATTAACATAAGGGGGTTTGGTAGACAAAACAGAGGATTTTGGGAAACAAACAGTAAAATCAGGGGGGGTTTGGAAAAACGGGGACCTGGATTTTTTGGACTAGCAGTAAAAATCAGGGGGGTTTGGGTTTAGACAGGAACACTGGAGGGTTGGGGCTAGCAGAAAACCATCCGGGGGTTTGGTTTAAAGGACACTGGAGTTGGACAAAGCCTTTAACCCTCAGGGGGTTGGTAAAACGGGACACAGAGGATTGGGTTTTGACTAGCAAGAAGATCAGGGGGGTTGGTAGACAGGACACTAGGAGGTTGGACAGCAGAAGAATCGGGTGATTGGTAGCAGGCCCTAGGATGTTGGACAAACAGTAACATCGGGGGGGGGGGGTAGGGGGGCCCACTAGGATTTTGGACTAGCAGTAAAAAAATCGGGGTGATTGGTAGAACGGGCGAGGATTTTGGGCCCTACAGAAAGATCGGGTGATTGGGAGACGGGGAACAGAGGAAAATTGGACTAGCAGTAAGATCAGGGTGGTTGGTAGACAGGACACTAGGATGTTGGACTAGCAGTAACATCAGGGTGGTTTGGGTTAGCCCGGACAGGGATGTTGGACTACCCGTAACTTTCAGGGGGGTTTGGTGACAGGACCCAGAGGATGTTGGACTAGCAAAAGATCAAGGTATTGGTGGGCCGGACACTGGGGTTGGGGGAACTAGAAAGTAAAATCAGGGTGGTTGGTAGACGGGACCTAGGATTTTGGATAGAAATAAGATCAGGGTGGTTGGTAAAAGGACCCAGGATTTTTGGACAAAGGCCGTAAACCAGGGGGGTTTTGGTAGACAGGACCTAGGATGTTGGACTAGATAACATCGGGGGTGGTTGGTAGACAGGACAAGGAGGTTTGGGCCTAGCAGAACATCGGGGGTTTTTTGGTAACGGGGACAAGGATTTTGGGAAACTGCAGAAAACAAAGGGGGGTTTTGGTAGGAACGGCCCAGGGAAAATTTTGGGAAACTAATAACATCAGGGGGGTTTTGGGTAGACGGGGCCCAACTAGGATTTTTTAAACTAGCGTAAAACATCAGGGGGGTTTGGGTAGCAGGACACAAGGATTTTTGGACTAGCAAAAAAATCAGGTGGTTTTTTAGCAAGGCCCAAAAGAGGATTTTGGGGAACTCTTAAAAACCATCAGGGTGTTTGGGTTTAGCCGGACACAGGGGAATGTTGGACTAGCGGGAAAAAAACATCAGGGGGGTTGGGTGGGGCCCAGGAAAAAGGGGGTTTTTGGACTAGCAAAACATCCGGGGGGGTTGGGTTAGACGGGGGGGACACAGAGGTTTTGGGACACCCGAAAACCCCGGGGTGATTGGGGTAGACAGGAAAAGAGGAGGTTGGAAGCTAAATCGGGTGGTTGGTAACCCGGCCCACTGGGAATTTTTGGCCCTAGGTAACATCGGGTTTTTGGTTGGTAAAAGGGACCTGGGATTTTTGGACTAGCGTAAGTTTCAGGGTGTTTGGGTAGACGGGACACTGGAGGGTTGGGACGAGCAGTAACATCAGGGGGGTTGGGGTAAAAAGGCCCATAGGAGGGTTGGGATTTAGCAGAAAAATCAGGGGGGTTTGGGTTTGGGACAGGACAAGGGATGGGAAACTAGCAGAAAACAGGGGGGTTTTGGTAGACAGGACACTGGGGTTTGTTGGACTAGCAGAAAGATAAGGGGGGTTTTGGTAGACAGGAAAACGGGGATTTTGGACAAAAGCAGTAACTTTCAGGGTGGTTGGTAACAGGCCCTGGGAAAATGTTGGACAAACCCGGGTAACTCAGGGGGTTGGGGTAAAACAGGAAAAGGGGAAATTTGGGGAAAAAGCAGAAATCAGGGTAAATTGGGAAAGACAGGACACAGAGGATGTTGGACTAGCAGTAAGATCAGGGTGGTTGGTAGACGGGAAACACTGGAATTTTGGACTAGCAGAAAACCATAAAGGGTGGTTGGTAGACAGGACAGAGGATGTTGGACTAGCAGTAACATCAGGGTGGTTGGAAAAGACAACAGAGGATTTTTGGGAAAGCAAAACCAGGGGGTTTGGTTGGAAAGACAGGAAAGAGGTGTTGGACAAAGCAGAAACCCTCAGGGGGGTTTGGGTTTTAAGACGGGGCCCACAGGGGGGGCTAGCAGTAGATCAGGGGGGTTTTGGGTAACGGGGGACAAGAGGATTTTTGGACTAGCAGAAAAGATAAAGGGTGGGGGGTTTTGCGGGAAACCCGGGGGAATGTTGGACTACGTAAATCAGGGGGGTTTGGGGTAGACGGGACACAGAGGTTTTGGGACTAGCAGTAAGATCAGGGGGGGGTTGGTGAGACGGGGAAAACAGAGGTTTGGGAAATAGCAGAAAACACAGGGTGGTTGGTGACGGACCTTTGGGGGGAAGTACGGGGGGATGAAAAATGGCAGGGGGGGAAGGAAAACCAAAAAAGAACAGTGCATCCTTCCTCCTCTCTTTTCAAAAAATTTTAAATTTAAGGGGGGGGAAAGGGGGGGCCCGCCCCCCAAAAGACCACAAAGGGGCCCAGGGGGGACGGGCCCCCCCCCCCACCGGGCCCCCCCGCCCCACCCCCCCCTCCTCCCCACACACGGTCCCCCCCCCCAACACCCTTCCTCTTTTCTCATTTCTCTTCTCTCGCTCTTTTCTTTTTTCTCTCTCGCATTTTTTGTCTTTAATTCTTTTTCCCGTCTTTTTAACTCCTCTTTTCCTCTCTCCCCTTCTCTCTTCTCTCTCTCCTCTTTCTGTCTCTCTCTCTCCTCTCTCCTTTTCGCATTCTGTCTCTTCATTCGGGTTTGTCTTTTCCTTTCCTAAAAAACCCCCCCCCCCGGGGGGGGAAAAAGGGGGGGGGTTTTTTGGGGGGGCTTTTTGGTTTTAACCCGGGTTTTTTTTCCTTTAAACCCTTTCCCTTTCTCTCCTTCCTCGGCTAAAATCCTGGGTTGTTTTCCCCTTCCTTTTGGGGGGCTCTTTCTCTCTCTCTCTCTCCATTCTGTCTCTTTCTTCTGTTGCTTCTCATTTTTTTCGTCTCCCCCTCCTCTCTCTCTCTCCCTCTCTCTTTCTCTCTCTCTTCTCTCCCCTCTTCTCTTTCTCTTCTTTTTCTCTCTAACCTGTGTCTGGGGGAAAACTAAAGGGGAAAGGGTCAGGGTCTTTCATGTTCCAGGTGAAGTGCCTTTCAGGACAGGGCATGCCCCTGCACGCACACCTCACACACACACGCACACCTAATAACACACATGCGCATGCACGCTCACTTACACACTCGTACACACACACACACACACACACACACACACACACACACACACACACCACACACACACCCACACAACCACACCACACACACACCTCTATCTTCCTAGGCTGCTCTACTTGGAGCGTGCTGCGTTGCAGTACTACCTGGTGAAGTCTGGGTTGTAAAGGAAGAAGAGGAAGAAAAAGAAGAAGAAGAAGAGATCATGAACTGGGGGAGGAGGATTGAAGAGAAGGGCGTGTGATAAAGGAGAAAATAAGGGATTCCCATCTCTGAGAGGAGGAGAGGAGGAGGGGTGAAGAAAGGGCTGGGAGTGTGAGAAAAGTCGCGTCATGTCAAGACGTGTTATCTTGACGGATGACTTGGTGTGAGCTGAGCTCTGGAGCTGTGCTCCTGAGGAATATTAGAGCTACTGCATAGACTGGTCCTAAGTCACGCCAACTCCTACCTCATGGCATCGGAGCTGGCAAGACAGCCATAACAGATCTGTAACTCTAGCACACTGTAGACGGATCTGTCATAATATTGCTCGAGCATTATTTTCCTTCATGCTGAGGCAGTTAGAACAACACAGAAGCGGATCAGAACCAACTTTTTCTAAATGTCACATATTTCTGACTGTATGTGAAAAGCTGTGCCTTGCTCTTCTTGTTCTGGTTCTGGTTCTGGTTCTGGTTCTGGTTCTACTTCCTACTTCATGTTACTTACTTCCATCTATCTAGATGGCGCCGGAGAAGATGGCTGCCGTTTTACAGCCCTCTAACCAATTGTACTATTATGTGTGTTTTTTTGCGTTATTTGTAATTTATTCTGTACATAATATTTCTGCCACCGTCTCTTATAACCAAAAAGAGCTTCTGGATATCAGGACAGCGATTACTCACCTCGTATTGGAAAATAAAAAAATCTTCAATGAGTCGGACGCAAAGGATATCCTACAGACACCCGACAAGGCCCAAAGAAAGAGACAGAGATATCGTGGACGTAGGTCGGGGTGCCTCGTAAGGATCCGACGGCGAGCGAGTAAACTGCCTCTTCCATCAATCCTATTAGCCAATCTTCAATCATTGGAAAATAAATTAGATGACCTAAGATTATGCTTATCCTACCAACGGGACATTAAATATTGTAATATCTTATGTTTCACCGACGACATGGATAACATACAGCTAGCGGGCTATACGCTACATCGGCAGGATAGAACGGCTGACTCCGGTAAGACAAGGGGTGGCGGTCTGTGTATATTTGTAAACAACAGCTGGTGCACAAAATCAAATGCTAAGGAAGTCTCGAGGTTTTGCTCGCGTGAGGTAGAGTATCTTATGATAAGCTGTAGATCACACTATTTACCAAGATAGTTTTCATCTATATTTTTCATAGCTGTCTATTTACCACCACAAACCAGTGCTGGCATTAAGATTGTACTGAATGAGCTGTATAAGGCCATAAGTAAACAGGAAAACGCTCATCCAGATGCAGCGCTCCTAGTGGCCGGGGACTTTAATGCAGGGAAACTTAAATCCGTTCTACCTCATTTCTACCAGCATGTTAAATGTGCAACCAGAGGAAAAAAAACTCTAGACCACCTTTACTCCACACACAGAGACGCGTACAAAGCTCTCCCTCGCCCTCCATTTGGCAAATCTGACCATAACTCTATCCTCCTGATTCCTGCTAACAAGCAAAAACTAAAGCAGGAAGCACCAGTGACTCGGTTAATAAAAAAGTGGTCAGATGACGCAGATGCTAAGCTACAGGACTGTTTTGCTAGCACAGACTGGAACATGTTCCGGGATTCTTCAGATAGCATTGAGGAGTACTCCACATCAGTCACTGGCTTCATCAATAAGTGCATCGATGACGTCGTCCCCACAGTGACCGTACGTACATTCCCCAACCAGAAGCCATGGATTACAGGCAACATCCGCACTGAGCTAAAGGGTAGAGCTGCCGCTTTCAAGGAGCGGGACTCTAACCCAGACGCTTAGAAGAAATCCCGCTATGCCCTCCGATGAACCATCAAACAGGCAAAGAGTCAATACAGGACTAAGATTGAATTGTACTACACCAGTTCCGACGCTCGCCAGATGTGGCAGGGCTTTAAAACTATTACAGACTACAAAGGAAAGCACAGCTGCGAGCTTCCCAGTGACACAAGCCTACCAGATGAGCTAAACCACTTCTATGCTCGCTTCGAGGCAAGCAAAACTGAAGCATGCATGAGAGCACCAGCAGTTCCGGATGACTATGTGATCACGCTCTCCGTAGCCGATGTGAGTAAGACTTTTAAGCAGGTCAACATTCACAAGGCCGCAGGGCCAGATGGATTACCAGGACGTGTACTCCGAGCATGTGCTGACCAACTGGCAAGTGTCTTCACTGACATTTTCAACATGTCCCTGACTGAGTCTGGAATACCAACATGTTTCAAGCAGACCACCATAGTCCCCGTGCCCAAGGACACTAAGATATACTGTCTAAATGACTACCGACCCGTAGCACTGACGTCTGTAGCCATGAAGTGCTTTGAAAGGCTGGTCATACCGCCCCAACAGATCCACAGATGATGCAATCTCTATTGCACCCCACACTGCCCTTTCCGACCTGGACAAGAGGAACACCTACGTGAGAATGCTATTCATTGACTACAGCTCAGCGTTCAACACCATAGTGCCCTCAAAGCTCCTCACTAAGCTAAGGATCCTGGGACTAAACACCTCCCTCTGCAACTGGATCCTGGACTTCCTGACGGGCCGCCCCCCAGGTGGTAAGGGTAGGTAACAACACATCTGCCACGCTGATCCTCAACACGGGGGCCCTCAGGGGTGCGTGCTCAGTCCCCTCCTGTACTCCCTGTTCACCCATGACTGCATGGCCAGGCACGACTCCAACACCATCATTAAGTTTGCCGACGACACAACAGTGGTAGGCCTGATCACCGACAACGATGAGACAGCCTATAGGGAGGAGGTCAGAGACCTGGCCGTGTGATGCCAGGATAACAACCTCTCCCTCAATGTGACCAAGACAAAGGAGATGATTGTGGACTACAGAAAAAAAAAAAGAGGACTGAGCACGCCCCCATTCTCATCGACGGGGCTGTAGAGGAACAGGTTGAGAGCTTCAAGTTCCTTGGTGTCCACATCACCAACGAACTATCATGGTCCAAACACACCAAGACAGTCGTGAAGAGGGCACGACAAAGCCTTTTCCCCCTCAGGAGACTGAAAAGATTTGGCATGGGTCCTCAGATCCTCAAAAAGTTATACAGCTGCACCATCGAGAGCATCCTGACTGGTTGCATCACCGCCTGGTATGGCAACTGCTCAGCCTCCGACTGCAAGGCAATACAGAGGGTAGTGCGTACGGCCCAGTACATCACTGGGGCCAAGCTTCCTGCCATCCAGGACCTCTATACCAGGCGGTGTCAGAGGAAGGCCCTCAAAATAGTCAAAGACTCCAGCCACCCTAGTCATAGACTGTTCTCTCTGCTACCGCACAGCAAGCAGTACCGAAGCGCCAAGTCTAGGTCCAAAAGACTTCTCAACAGCTTCTACCCCCAAGCCATAGGACTCCTGAACAGCTAATCATGGCTACCCAGACTACTTGCACTGCCCCCCCAACCCCACCCCATCTTTTTACGCTGCTGCTACTCTGTTAATTATTTATGCATAGTCACTTTAACTCTACCCACGTGTACATATTACTTCAACTACCTCAACTAGCCGGTGCCCCTGCACATTGACTCTGCACCGGTACCCCCCTGTATATATAGCCTCCCTACTGTTATTTTATTTTACTTCTGCTCTTTTTTTTTCTCAACACTTTTGTTGTTGTTGTTGTTTTATTGTACTTTTTTATTAAGAAATAAATGCATTGTTGGTTAAGGGCTGTAAGTAAGCATTTCACGGTAATGTCTACACCTGTTGTATTCGGCGCATGTGGCAAATAAAATTTGATTTGATTTTAACTCTACATCAACAATAGATACTGATATATTGATGCAAATAACGGGAAAAGTCCTCCTTTTTCCATATTCTCTCTCCTCTCTCTCCTTTTTCCCCTTCTTTCTTTCTTTCCTTCTCTTTCTCTCCTCTCTCTTCTCCCTCTCCCCTCTCTTCTCCTCTTCCTCTCTCTTCTCTCTTCCCCAGCCTCTTTCTATGGCGATGGCTATGTGCAGCTGAAGGCATGGGGGGCGTCAAACCCGTAACTCCGGGGTTTTGGCTTCGTACCCAGCCCCACGGCCTCTCTTCCTTGCTGCGGCCAACCGACTACCTTTAGTGGAGCGAACGCTGGTGCCGAGGTAGTTATCATAGCCTAGAGCCAAAACACACAAAAATCAAAGCAGAAAAACCACCCCCACAAAACCAAAACACACAAAAAAACACCAAAAAAAAAAAACCCCCCCCCCCCCCCCCCCCACAAAAAACACACACAAAACACCCCAACACCACCACACACACACAACACACACACACACCCACCCAGAAGGCCCCAAACCAAACCAAAAAAGTCAGTCACTCAGCACAATAAGATATGCAGACAGACAGGCAGACAGACCTAGATAACTACCGCCCAATTTCTAAACTATCTTGCCTTGCAAAAATATTAGAATCACTGGCAAACTCTCAGCTAAGAACTGTTTTTAACTTTCAATTATATTCTTAATGTGTACCAGTTGATTTTAGCCGGTTCAGCTGCTACGCTTATCTTAGATGGTGTTAAATTGCTCAAATCATAGGAATCCCTGTGCTGCCATATACTGTATATAGGACCGATCCAAGGCCTTTGATACTGTCGACCATCCCCTACTAATAATCTAATCCTGAATCAAATTTTTTCAATTTCTTAAAAATTTTAGGGCCCTTTTGTAGCCCTTTATTTTGGGGGTTTTTTAATTTTTTTTGTTATTTGGGGTTTTTGGGGGTCTTTTTGGCCGGGGGGGGCCCCAAAAGCAGCTTGCCGTTCTTGTTTGGGGGAAAAATTGGCCCCTTAAAAGTTGTGTGGACTTGTTCCGTTTTTTTTGTTTGGGGGGGATTGGCTTAGTTCTTTCCCCGTTTTTTTTGAGGTTTTTTTTTTAAATGCAACCGAAAATTTAGATGCACTGAAACCCCGCTCGGGGGCCTTTATTTAGCAGGGGGAAATTCTTTTTAGTAGTAACTACACCCAGGACTATTTTGGCCGGTGACAACAGACACTACACCCACTAAACAACAAGACACCTAACACCAGCCATTTCTATTTCCAAAAATTTCGCACCTACTCACGTGATTTTTCTTTCAGTTTGTAATAATGTTCAGTCGCTCCCCTGGTTAATCAGACATGGCAGCCGCTGCAATCCAGATAACCGTCCGCCCTCTTAATACGTGCCTTGCCCCATATTACAACATCACTTGGTCAAACCTCTTACTACGTTCTGTCACCTCTTTAATCACGTGCCCTTGGTTCTTTACTTCAGCTGCGCTTTCGTCCCTCTTAATCCGTTAGCTGTCCGTCCCTTCCATCACGTCGCTGGTGCCCTCCTCATTATGCCCTGTCCAAGCCTTGACTTCGCCCCCTACTATCAAGGCAGTCTGAAATGGGCCGACCCTTGCGTCTTGCGAGTGGTTTGGAAACTATCGTCAGATAGGACACATTTTTTCATGCGGGTGTCGTTACCTTTTATAAAGTGCCGAAGGGGCCCTTGGCCTTCCTCACTTACATTAATAAAACTATCTGCAAAACACGTAGCCGTAGGCGGCCAGGCCGTACATGACGTGGCTGCTACAGCTTCAATCAGCTGACAATTGTTCAAATTCTTAAACTATTCAGTGGCTTACTGTCACGCCCTATGTGGTGTTATTCTAGTATGTGTGGATCTATGTTGGCCGGTGTGTGGTTCCCAATCAGAGGCAGCTGTAGCTCGTTGTCTCTGATTGGGGACCATACTTAAGCAGCCTATTGGCACCAGTCTAGTTGTGGGATCTTGTTCCGTGTAAAATATGTTGTGTGTGCGCTACCTTGGACTTCACGTTTCGTTTCGTTTATTGTTTTGTCGAGTGTTTATTAAGTTAAAATAAACATGTATGCATATCACGCTGCGCCTTGGTCCGTCCCGTCCTTCCACGAACGTGACACTTACACATTTATGCATGGTTCTTTCATCGAGCAGGTTCCTGCCTATAAATATCTGGGCTTTTGGATTTATAATAATTTGACTTTTTAAAAACATACGCTAGTTAAGAAGCTGAGATTTAAAGTAGGTTTAATTTATAGAAATTGATCATTTCTCACAGATCAATAGATCGATTATATTATAGATTGCTTCTCCCTGAACAGCAGGAGGCAGATTGTACAGTCAACTTTCCTGCCAGTTCTTGACTATGTTGACTCCATTTACCAGAATGCAGCAGCCACTCCTCTTAGACCTTTACATGCCGTCTACCATAGCGCCCTTCGTTTTATCACAGGTGACAGTTTTAATATTCATCACTGCGTCCTGTATCAAAAGGTTGGCTGGTCCTCATTAAAGTCCCATAAATCACTTCACTACTCCCTTTCTGTTTACAAAGCTCTACTACACAAGCTTCCGACCTACCTAACTTCGCTGTTAAAATATAAGAACATTTTGAGATACCATATCCGTTCACAGGGAAGGTTAACTCTTAAGATTTCTCGGGTCTCCACCAAACTAGATAAATCCGCTTTTAGTTTTAACGCTCCACATTTTTGGAATCACTTACAAAATTCATTACATTTGGATTCCCTGGTGCCACTAGGGCAGTTTAAAACCCTGATGATAAATGAGTTCACTGAGGTGTGCAATTATTTTGATTGACCTCAGGGGTGCGTGCTCAGTCCCCTCCTGTACTCCCTGTTCACTCATGACTGCATGGCCAGGCATGACTCCAACACCATCATTAAGTTTGCCGACGACACAACAGTGGTAGGCCTGATCACCGACAACGACGAGACAGCCTATAGGGAGGAGGTCAGAGACCTGGCAGTGTGGTGCCAGGACAACAACCTCTCCCTCAACGTGATCAAGACAAAGGAGGTGATTGTGGACTACAGGAAAAAGAAGAGGACCGAGTACGCCCCCATTCTCATCGACGGGGCTGTAGTGGAGCAGGTTGAGAGCTTCAAGTTCCTTGGTGTCCACATCACCAACAAACTAACATGGTCCAAGCACACCAAGACAGTCGTGAAGAGGGCACGACAAAACGTATTCCCCTAAGGAGACTGAAAAGATTTGGCATGGGTCCTCATATCCTCAAAAGGTTCTACAGCTGCACCATCGAGAGCATCCTGACTGGTTGCATCACTGCCTGGTATGGCAACTGCTCGGCCTCCGACCGCAAGGCACTACAGAGGGTAGTGCGTACGGCCCAGTACATCACTGGGGCCAAGCTTCCTGCCATCCAGGACCTCTATACCAGGCGGTGTCAGAGGAAGGCCCTAAAATTTGTCAAAGACTCCAACCACCCTAGTCATAGACTGTTCTCTCTGCTACCGCATGGCAAGTGGTACCGGAGCGCCAAGTCTAGGTCCAAGAGGCTTCTAAACAGCTTCTATCCCCAAGCCATAAGACTCCTGAACATCTAATCCAGACTCCTGAACATCTAATCCAGACTCCTGAACATCTAATCCAGTACCCAGACTATTTTACTCTGCTGCTACTCTCTGTTTATTATCTATGCATAGTCACTTTAATAACTCTACCTACATGTACATATTACCTCAATTACCTCGACTAACCGGTGCCCCGGCACATTGACTCGGTACCGGTAACCCCTGTATATAGCCTCGCTATTGTTAATTATTCATTACTTTTATTTATTTATATATATATATATATATATTATTTTTTGGTATTCATTCTTAAACCTGCATTGTTGGTTAAGGGCTTGTAAGGCAGCATTTCACTGTAAGGTCTACACCTGTTGTATTCAGCGCATGTGACAAATAACGTGATTTGATTTGACTTTAATAATTGGTTTATGATGGCTGTGATGTTTGATGTTCTAATGTAATGTAGTTGTTATTGTATCTTGTAGTTTTGTATTTTATTTTATGTCCTCAGGGCACCATTGGGCTGATTATATTAAAGTTAATAGGCAGACAGACAGACAGACAGACAGACAGACAGACAGACAGACAGACAGACAGACAGACAGAGAGACAGAAACCGGGAGGGAGGGAGGGAGGGAAGGAGGCAGGCAGACAGACAGACCGGGAGACAGGCAGACAGACCGTGATGGACGCAGGCAGGTAGGCAGGCAGGCAGGCAGGCAGGCAGGCAGGCAGGCAGACAGACAGACAGACAGACAGACAGACAGACAGACAGACAGACGGTGCTTGTCACAGTGGCCCCCTCAGAGCAACTACAACTAGAAATACAGTTGGTGAGGTTGTGACTGTATATTAAAGGTTGTGACTGTATATTAAAGGTGCTCCGCCATTTTCTGGTTGCTAAAATTCGAATAGTTAGTCTAATTTCAGTTTATGTGACAAAACAAACAAGTATACTGTGGAGAATCATTGTACCATCTAAACTGCTGTGAAATATAATTTCAATAACCAAAAATATTGTATTTTCAGCTGTTTGAAAGCTGGTGTACAAAACCGAAAGTAAGAGACACAAAAACGAAACTTAAGAACGGGAAGCATAGAAATACTGCACATAGAACAAAACTATGAAATAACACACATGGAATCATGTAGTTAACAAAAAAGTGTTAAACAAATCAAAATATATTTTAGATTCTTCAAAGTAGCCATCCTTTGCCTTGATGACAGGTTTGCACGCGCTTGGCATTCTCTCAACCAGCTTCATGAGGTAGTCACCTGGAATGCATTTCAATTAACAGGTGTGCCTTGTTAATTTGTGGAATTTATTTCCTTCTTAATGCGTTTGAGACAATAAGTTGTGTTGTGACAAGGTAGGGGTGGTGTACAGAAGATAGCCCTATTTGGTAAAAGACCAAGTCCATATTATTGGCAAGAACAGCTCAAATAAGCAAAGAGAAATGACAGTCCATCATTACTTTAAAACATGGAGGTCAGTCAATCCGGAAAATCTCAAGAACTTTGAAAGTTTGTTCAAGTGCAGTCGCAAAAACCAACAAGCGCTATGATGAAACTGGCTCTCATGAGGACTGCCACAGGAAAGGAAGACCCAGAGTTACCTCTGCTGCAAAGGATAAGTTCATTAGAGTTACCAGCCTCAGAAATTGCAGCCCAAATCTTCACAGAGTTCAAGTAACAGACACATCTCAACATCAACTGTTCAGAGGAGACTGCGTGAATCAGGCCTTCATGGTCGAATTGCTGCAAAGAAACCACTACTAAAGGACACCAATAAGAAGAAGAGACTTGCTTGGGCCAAGAAACACAAGCAATGGACATTAGACCGGTGGAAATCTGTCCTTTGGTCTGATGAGTCTGAATTTGAGATTTTTGGTTCCAACCGCCGTGTCTTTGTGAGACGCAGAGTAGGTGAACGGATGATCTCCGCATGTGTGGTTCCCACCGTGAAGCATGGAGGAGGAGGTGTGATGGTGCTTTGCTGGTGAAACTGTCAGGGATTTATTTAGAATTCAAGGCACACTTAACCAGCATGGCTACCACAGCATTCTACAGCAATAAACCATTCCATCTGGTTTGGGCTTAGTGGGACTATCATTTGTTTTTCAACAGGACAATGACCCAACACACCTCCAGGTTGTGTAAGGGCCTATTTTACCAAGAAGGAGAGTGATTGAGTGCTGCATCAGATGACCTGGCCTCCACAATCCCCCGACCTCAATCCAATTGAGATGGTTTGGGATGAGTCGTACCACAGAGTGAAGGAAAAGCAGCCAACAAGTGCTCAGCATATGTGGGAACTCCTTCAAGACTGTTGGAAAAGCATTCCAGGTGAAGCTGGTTGAGAGAATGCCAAGAGTGTGCAAAGCTGTCATCAAGGCAAAGGGTGGCTATTTGAAGATTCTCAAATATAAAATATACTTTGATTTGTTTAACACTTTTTTGTTTACTACATGATTCCATATGTGTTATTTCATAGTTTTGTTGTCTTCACTTCACTATTATTCTACAATGTAAAAAATAGTCAAAATAAAGAAAAACCCTTGAATGAGTAGGTGTGTCCAAACCTTTGACTGGTAGTGTATGTTTTTTTTTGAAAAGCTGGAATGTCTTGAGTCAATAAGTATTCAATCCCTTTGTTATGTCAAGCCTAAATATGTACAGGAGTAAAAATGTGCTTAACAAGTCACATAATAAATGGCATGGACTCACTCTGTGTTTATCGTGAGTTTTGAAAGACTTCCTCAACTCTGTACCCCACACATACAATTATCTGTAAGGTCCCTCAGTCGAGCAGTGAATTTCAAACACACATTCAACCTCAAAGACCAGGGAGGTTTTCCAATGCCTCGCAAGGAAGGGCACATATAAAATACAAATAAAAGAGGAAGGAGAGGAAGGAAAATGAGGCCAATGGTGACTTTAAAACAGTTACAGAGTTTAATGGAGCGGCAGGTGGCTTAGTGGTTAAGAGCGTTGTGCCAGTAACCGAAAGGTCGCTGGTTCTAATCCCCGAGCCGACTAGGTGAAAAATCTGTCGATATGCCCTTGAGCAAGGCACTTAACCCGAATTGCTCCTGTAAGTCGCTCTGGATAAGAGCGTCTGCTAAATGACTAAAATGTAAATGTAATGGCTGTGATAGGAGAAAACTGAGGATGGATCAACAACATTGTAGTTACACCACAATAATAACCTAATGGACAAAGTGAAAAGAAGGAAGCCTGTACAGAATAAAAATATTTCAAAACATGCATCCTTTTTGCAACAACACACTAAAGTAATACTGCAAAAAGTGTGGCAAAGCAATTAACTTTTTGTCCTGAATACAAAGTGTTATGCTTGGGGCAAATCCAATACAACACATTACTGAGTACCACTCTCCATATTTTCAAGCATGGTGGTGGCTGCATCATGTTATGGGTATGCTTGTAATCGTTAAGGACTGGGGAGTTTTTCGGGATAAAAAAGAAATGGAATGGAGCTAAGCACAGGCAAAATCCTACAGAAAGACCTGGTTCAATCTAACACACAAAGCCACATCTACAGTGGAGTTGCTTACCAAGAAGACAGTGAATGTTCCTGAGTGGCCAAGTTACAGTTTTGACCTAAATCTACTTGAAAATCTATGGCAAGACTTGAAAATGGCTGTCTAGCAATGATCAACAACCAATTTGACAAACCTTGAAGAATTTAGAAAAGAATAATTGGCAGATATTGTACAATGCAGGTTTGGAAAGCTCTTAGAGACTTACCCAGAAAGAATCACAGCTGTAATCGCCGTCGAAGGTGCTTCTACAAAGTATTGACTCAAGGGTGTGAACAATTATGTAAATCAGACATGTCTGTATTTCAATACATTTTCAAAAAATGTTTAAAAACATGTTTTCACTTTGTCATTATGGGGAATTGTAACAACAACAAAATGTGGAATAATTTAAGAGGTATGAATTCTTTCTGAAGGCACTGAAGTACTCCTGTTAATGAACTGGAACCTAGTTTCTGTTTCTGGTTTATATTACCGCAAACTACAAAACGTAAATTATACTGGCTTTGTCATTTTTTCAATAAGACATAGAGGAACACAGCAGTTTCTGGTTTATGTTACTGTCCTGCAATCTCTGTTATGGTTTAAAATAGAGCCCACCTCGAAAGTCTTAGCTCGTGTTGTAGGTTATGTTCCAGGTGGTCCTGGCCTCACTGTTTCTGGGCCAGGGGGCATGAGCTGTGCTGCGCTGACAGAAATAACTCAAATTAATTTGTCGCTTGAAGACTTGGGTTAAAAGTTAGCTTCTCACTAAGGTTTTGCGATGAAATCGCCAAAACAAGTGAGGAGACAGATAGACTTTGTTGTGAAAACAGTCAGACGTGTTCAACAGAAAGAAAACGTTGGTTTCCCGGAAAAAATATGTTACAACGTCACTATCACCCCATGAGAAATCCTTGCTACTGAAAAAGTTCTCCCCCCCGGGGCTACAATTTTATTTTCGTGTTGGGGAGTGAAATGTGAAATGGGCTGATGATTGCACTGCGTGGGTTTCTGTTGAGTGTGAGGAGCGAGAAAACTGGATGGAAACTGCTCATCCTTACCCCTTCTTAAAACAACTTTAGGAACAAAACAAATTCACAAAAGTTTATTTTCCTCTCTCATCTTGTCCTCAGGCTTGAGGTCTCTTTCCGAATGAATCCGGTTAGAGATTAGCACTGCTGTTGTGTTGTCTTGAAACCCTGCCTGTATAGCTGGGACTCAGCAGCAAGCCTTGACAGGCCATTTCCTCCCGATGCAGAGCTCCACAGAGACGGGGCCTGCGGCCCAAATGGGACCCTATTCCCTATATATAGTGGGCTCTGGTCAAAAGTAGTGCACTAAGTAGGGAACAGGGTGTCATTTGGGACGCAGGCCTGCTTGCACAGAGACAGCGACAGTGGTAGCACAGCTGAAGGCAGAAAGATAGTAGGGTTCTTCCTTGAGGGAAACAAAGCTCTCTGTTTTAACGGCAGGTGACATCATAAATAGGACATTTATTCATGATAACATCATGATAACAAGTGTCAGTGTGGTTATTCCCTATATCCAGGTGATGCTGAGAATGTCTCTTTAAAAAAAAAAAAAAATAACTCTGATGGGATATACAGTAACTAAAATTGGAATATGTTCTTATTTAAATGCTGAGAAATGAATAGAACCGAAATGAAAAGGGATATTTTTTCTCACTAGAATATAAATATGACTAAATAGTAATGTAGTTATGCAATATAAGTGACAGTGATGAAACACAATGTGTATCTGGCTCAGTGGAGTTGTGTTATTCAGTCTTGGTCTAGTAATTCCAATTGGTTACGATTAGGCTTAGCGGTTGGGTTAGGGTTTGACAGTAAATGTAATCGTTTAAGTTTAAAAGTCCAGTTTAACAGCGAGATCGAATTTGAATCAAGTCTCTTCTTCCCTTCCCTTCCTCTGTTCAGGTGAAGCTGGACCTGGGGTCTGGTGAACGGTTGCTGAGATCAGAGACCAGCCTCCAACTAAACGACCTGGCGTGGCACACTGTTGAGCTCCTCCACGACCGCCACAATGTCACCCTGACCGTGGACCAGCACTCCCTCACCAGCCTCAGGATGCCCGGCCACGGATCTCAGAAGCAGGAGCTCACCATCCAGGACGGGCTGTACGTCGGCGGGTCTGGAGGCCTGGACAAGCTCTACCTACCCAATGACCTAACAGGATTCAGGGGCTGCATGGACAAGGCTGTCTTCAACGAGAACGATATGTTATCGTCATTGAGACCGTACGCTGGATTTAAGAGTGTCTATGAGGTTTCTTTGGGCTGTAGTCCCCAGTTCTTTGCCGGCGAGGAGGATCCTGTTAGTTTCTTTAGTTCAAGAGCGTATGTCTCCCTGCCACCCTGGAACATCTCCCACAACCAGCAGGAGGCGCTGTTTGAGTGTGTGGTTCACACCTCGGCTAAAGAAGGGATTGTCTTGTACAACTCGGCCAGACAGGGGGACTTTGTGGCAGTTGAGATCCAAGAGGGGCTGCTGGTGGCCATCGTGGGTAAAGGAGGCACCAAGACGGAACTTAAATCCCTCACCTTTGTCAATGACAGGAACTGGCATTCAGTGAAGCTGTTCTTTACCCCCAAGACCCTCCAGCTGACAGTGGACGAGGAGACGGTGAAGACTAGCATCAGCTCTCGCTCCAAGGGACTCCAGCTGAGAGGGTCGCTGTTTGTGGGGGGCATTGATGACAGCACACGCTCAGAAGTCAGGAAGATGGGTCTAGTGTCTGTGTTGGGAAAGAGAGTCAGAGGAGGTTCTTTTAAGGGCTGTCTGAAGGACATGAAAGTCAATGGGGTCATGATGGGTCTGCCCAATGCTGTAGTCACTAAAGATATCTCGGTGGGCTGCGAACCGGAGAAAGAACCAGAGCCCTCGACCACGATGGGTCCAACTACTATCCCAACTGTCCCCAAGTCCTGGTTCGATCCCACTTCGGTCACCCCCACCCCAGAATTCCCTATGTTCACTCTGGCCAGGGGGCTGGACAAGAGGTACGGGGACAACTTCGTGCTGCTCAGGAACCTTGTAATCCCAGAGGGCGGGCGTGGGTCTCTAGAGTCCAAGCACATCAAGGTTCTCCTGGACTTCAAGAAGCTCGGGGTACGCCAGTCTCAGATCATGTTCCGGATCCAGGAGCAGCCGGTGCACGGTCAGATACGACTGGATGTGGACCAGGACCAAGAGGAGAACATCTTCAGCATGCTGGACCTGTGGCACGGCAGGGTGATGTACATCCACGGAGGATCAGAAGACCCAGAAGACTTTTTCACCTTCTCTATCTTCTCTTCCTCCAGGAAGGAGGTTCCAACATACCTGAAGGGGACGAGAAGGTACCGCTACAACATCACAGTGACCCCAACCAATGACGCCCCAGAGCTCAGCCTGCCCCAGGGGAACCTCTTTGTCCTGCTGGAGAATTCTAGAAAACTCCTAACCAAAGAGGTGTTGAAGGCCACAGACATTGACAGCAACCACACGGACCTGGTCTTCTCCATCCTGGGGAACCTGAACGCCGACGCAGGTTACCTGGAGGTGGCAGATAACCCCGACACCGCAGTGACCACATTCTCCCATTCTGATCTGGAGGAAGGGAAGGTGAACTATGTCCACACTGGGGTGAGGAACTCCAGGATTGTGCTGAGGGTCAGTGATGGAGATAAGGTGAGCAACACGGTGGTTCTGAGGATCATGGCCGTAGGGCTGGAGTATAAGATCGCCAACAACACTGGGCTTGAAATCACTCAAGGTGAGGTGGCTGTGATCAGTAACAAGCAACTGGCCATTCAGACCAATGCCGTGAAGCAAGTGGTGGACATCCGATATGATGTTGTCGAGCCCCCTCAGTATGGGGAGCTTCAGAGGCTTCACTCCAGTGGAGAATGGAAGCCCACCGGTTCTTTCTCTCAAAGGCTGCTGGAGAAAGAACGCCTTCGGTACATCAGCACTTTCCAAGAAATCCAGAATGCCAATGCTACGGATTACTTCAAATGCAAGGTCACTGTAGCAGGAAGAGTCAATACTGAGCTGGTCTTTCCAGTCACAGTGAAGTGGGTACATTATAACCTAGTCAGGAACATAATGGCCGATATTGATAAAGTTCGGAAAGTTACGTTGGGCTCACAGTATCTTTATGCCACAGTGGACTTTGTGACACTATCCGAGGATGATCTTCACTTCAGAGTTCTCTCCTCGCCGAAGAAAGGAAAACTTCTGCTTGTTAACGAGTTACTGAATAAAAATTCAACTTTCAGCCAAAGAAATGTCACTGATCTAAAGGTACAATACGAACTGGTCGACAGACCATACGAAGACACAAGTGACACGTTTCAATTCCAAGTGTTCTCCAAGCATGCTCAATCACAAAGTTACGATTTCCAGATCTCAATAAAAGCTGACGTCAACAGCGTATTTATAAGAAATGACAAACTATCTATAATGGAGGGAGAGAGTAAACTCATCACAAAAGACGAGTTGTTCGCGGAGACTCTCAGCACCAAGGAGATGTACTACACTATCACAAGTAGCCCCAAACACGGGAAGCTAGCACGCATCAACCTGTCCAACTCTAACACCAGTTACAACAACATCCGAACGTTCAGCAACAAGGATCTCTTGGAGGAGCGCGTCATGTACATCCACGACGACACAGAGACCACTCAGGATCAGTTCACATTCATAGCCTCCACTAGTCTGGAGTTCAAATCATCCGTCACGGACGACGAAGTCGGATCCAAAGAAGGGACGTTCAACATATCCATCCAGCTAGTTAATGACGAGAAGCCGGTGCGCGTTGTCGATAAAGTTTTCCACGTGGTGAGGGACGGGCAGCGGTTGCTAACTCTGGACGATCTCTGTTACCATGACGCAGACTCGGACTTCAGCGACGGGCAGTTGGTCTACACGCGACGGGGAATCCCGATGGGAGACCTGGTTCTGGTGAACGACACCTCTCACAGGTACTTTCTGTTTTGTTTTTGTACATGTTAATGATATAATGTATTATGACTGAGTGGTCCACAATGTTGTTTTTAGTCTTTGATATGTCTTGTCAATTGGCTGGATGAGGAGGCTAGGCTCTGTACCTTTAAGACCACCTGGTGTGTTGTGGGTTGTGGACTACAGGGTTTTCAAACCTCTCCTCTGGGACCCCCAGACGTTCCATGTATTTTATCTATTCCACAGCTAGCACACCTGATTCAACCTGTCAACTAATCATCAAGCCCTTGAATAGGTGAATCAGGAGAACTCAGCAGGGCTACAACAAATTACTGTGAACCGTCTGGACGTCCCAGAAGAGAGCTTTGAAAACCACTGGACCACTGTTGGTTTGTTGTATTGTGGAGTGATACTTTATTAAACTTTCCTAACTCTGACCTCCAGGTTGTTCCAGTTCACCCAGAAGGAGCTGGAAGAGAAGAGGGTGTTGTTCCTCCATCGAGGCGTGAGCTCCGGACGCTTCGTGCTCTTCGTGTCCGACGGGAAACACTTAGTCTCCACTCTGCTGGAGGTCAACGCCCACGACCCTTTCCTGAGACTCGGCAACAACACAGGTATGTGTGTATGTGTATATATTTAATATGTTGTATGCACAGTATTTTCCAATTTATCCTTCACTAAAGCCCCGCCCCACTTGGTTACTGTTGCAACCTCGGACAACATTTTCCCGGGAAGCCCAATTCCCCATTCAACCACTGGCAAAATCCCCTCACAATGATCTCAAACTGTTTCTAATACACAATGAAAATGAACACAGACTACCCCTTGCTAATCAGAAACTCTTGGGTATGTTGTCATTACAATTTCTTCACGGGAACCTGGTAAAATTATATTTGGAGTGTAGCTAGACACTGAATGGCTCTGAAGTCAAAAGCTATAACCACTTCTGGAGCTAACTAGTGCTCTCAACTCGTATCCTGATGTCGACAGCAGATGGGAGTTGTATTCATAACATAGCTAACTTAGCTAGCAAACATACATTCTGAGAAAACAAGTTATATTAAGTGGCTTGCTAGCTAGCTTTAGCAACAATTTGATGGTCAATGAGACTGAGAGCTAGCTAACCAGCTGAGCTAGCAAACGTAAAATGTAACAATAGTAACATTTTGGATTTGAAAAATACTCCATCAACAGGCTCTGCATTTCAGAAGTACTCCAGGTGCACTGTTCTATTATTTAGCCATTTTTTTTTTTTGAAGGAAACTCTCAGTTGTTGCCATAGCCCTCACTGGCTTTCATGAGATTTAAACTTGAGCTGTCGGACTCGATGACAGTTGTTATCTGTTGGAGTGTTGCGATTGGTTGCCCAAAATTCTGCAGTGGGGCTTAGCGAAGAGTCAATTGAATCGTTACGTAAAGTGCCTTTGCAGTGTCCAATGTATAGTCAGTCTTGCGCAAGCTGTCCATTATTTTGCCCTTGTGTGAACGAAGGGTTTTTTTCTGCTACGATTGATTGTTTTCATCCTCAATAATTGTTTATGTCTGTGGCAACTCTATGTATTTTCATTCATTCATTTGTTAATTCATCCATCCATTCATTCATTAATACATTAATTCATCCATTAATTAATTAATTCATCCATTCACAGGTCTGTTGGTCCAGAAGGGAAAGGAAGTGACCGTAACCACCGGTAACTTCAGCATCCTCACAAACCTCAATGTCCGTGATGACAGCGAGGTCACCTACGAGGTGTCCGAGCCTCCTAGGAATGGCTGGCTGTATCGCCACGGAAACATCTCAATGGAGTTGTTTACACAGCACGACCTGAAGAAGGGCCTTGTCTCGTATCGCCACGATGACGGCAAGAACCTGGCGGACTGGTTCAGTGTGACGGTTAAGGTTAAAGGTCACGTTCTGAATGCCAGAATCAACGTTAAGGTTTACTTGGAGAGCCATCAGAGGCCCCCTATCCTCCAGCACAACAACACCTTATTGGTGGAGGAGAGCAAGCCTGTGAAGATTGACGAGAGTAGACTGGAGGTATGTATGTTGTCTGGGTTGGGGATGGACGGATGATTGGATGGATGGATGGATACAGTGAGGGGAAAAAAGTATTTGATCCCCTGCTGATTTTGTACGTTTGCCCACTGACAAAGACATGATCAGTCTATAATTTTAATGGTAGGTTTATTTGAACAGTGAGAGACAGAATAACAACAACAAAAATCCAGAAAGAACGCATGTCAAAAATGTTATAAATTGATTTACATTTTAATGAGGGAAATAAGTATTTGACCCCCCCTCTCAATCAGAAAGATTTCTGGCTCCCAGGTGTCTTGGTGTCAATTGGTAACACACTAGGACTGAAATCCTGCAGCGCCCGCAAGGTCCCCCTGCTCAAGAAAGCACATATACATACCCATCTGAAGTTTGCCAATGAACATCTGAATGATTCAGAGGAGAACTGGGTGAAAGCGTTGTGGTCAGATGAGACCAAAATGCAGCTCTTTGGCATCAACTCAACTCGCCGTGTTTGGAGGAGGAGGAATGCTGCCTATGACCCCAAGAACACCATCCCCACCGTCAAACATGGAGGTGGAAACATTATGCTTTGGGGGTGTTTTTCTGCTAAGGGGACAGGACAACTTCACCGCATCAAAGGGACGATGGACGGGGCCATGTACCGTCAAATCTTGGGTGAGAACCTCCTTCCCTCAGCCAGGGCATTGAAAATGGGTCGTGGATGGGTATTCCAGCATGACAATGACCCAAAACACACGGCCAGGAGTGGCTTAAGAAGAAGCACATTAAGGTCCTGGAGTGGCCTAGCCAGTCTCCAGACCTTAATCCCATAGAAAATCTGTGGAGGGAGCTGAAAGTTCGAGTTGCCAAACGTCAGCCTCGAAACCTTAATGACTTGGAGAAGATCTGCAAAGAGGAGTGGAACAAAATCCCTCCTGAGATGTGTGCAAACCTGGTGGCCAACTACAAGAAACGTCTGACCTGTGTGATTGCCAACAAGGGTTTTGCCACCAAGTACTAAGTCATATGTTTTGCAGAGGGGTCAAATACTTATTTCCCTCATTAAAATGCATATCAATTTATAACATTTTTGACATGCGTTTATCTGGATTTTTTTGTTGCTATTCTGTCTCTCACTGTTCAAATAAACCTACCATTAAAATTATAGACTGATCATGTCTTTGTCAGTTGGCAAACGTACAAAATCAGCAGGGGATCAAATACCCTATTTCCCTCACTGTAAATTATTGATTGTATGGATGAATGAATGATTGTATGGATGGGTGGATGAATGGCTGAATGATTGCATGGATGAATGGATGGATGAATTATTGATTGACTGGATGGATGAATGAATGGATGAATGATTGGATGGATGAGTGGCTGGATGGATGATTTATTGATTGGATGGATGGATGAATGATTGGATGGGTGAATGAATTCATGAATGAATAAGTAACTGGGTTGGGATGGGATGTGGTAGTGATTGACGTAGATTAGAATATATTTGTGTATTGTTTAGCATATTTCTACACAGATTGATCATTTGATATTTGCGTATGTCAGTATTAGTTCAAGTTCTTCAGTATGACATTTATTCTAACTCCTGAGCTTGAGTCAAGTCGAGTAACACGTCAAACTTGAAACATGATGCCAAGTGACACACCAAACATTAACTAACCAGTTTAGACATCAAACATCTCAGAGGTCAAAAAGGCACCGTATTCCCTATGGGGCCTTGGTCTAAAGTAGTGCACTATATAGGGAATAGGGTGCCATTCTCTGGTCTAAAGTAGTGCACTATATAGGGAATAGGGTGCCATTCTCTGGTCTAAAGTAGTGCACTATATAGGGAATAGGGTGCCATTCTCTGGTCTAAAGTAGTGCACTATATAGGGAATAGGGTGCCATTCTCTGATCTAAAGTAGTGCACTATATAGGGAATAGGGTGCCATTCTCTGGTCTAAAGTAGTGCACTATATAGGGAATAGGGTGCTCTGGTCTTAAGTAGTGCACTATATAGGGAATAGGGTGCCATTTGGAACGCAACCAGACTTGACAGTATAAGCCTCTGTCCACTGTATCTAGCCTCCAACCTCTGCCTGTCTGTCTGCCTGCCTGCCTGCCTGCCTGTCTGTCTGTCTGTCTGTCTGTCTGTCTGTCTGTCTGTCTGTCTGTCTGTCTGTCTGTCTGTCTGTCTGTCTGTCTGTTCCAGGTGACCCACGAGGACAACCTGCCGTCTGAGATTGTATTTACAGTGAAGGTGGCTCCACTACACGGGTTCCTGCGGTGCTTCGTGGAGGCTGAGGAGCAGTATGTTGGAACTGAACAGACCCCTGTCCAGACCTTCTCCCAGGAAGACGTCAACGCTGGCAACGTCCAGTACATGCAGACAGCCCCCGGCCAGGTCTGTTGGACTTGTCTTTTTGTCCTTCTGTATTTGGACTTGAGACAGAAAGACAGGAAAGTAAAGAAGACAATGTGGGAAGGGTGAGGGCTGACATGCAGACAGACAGACCCTGGCCAGGTCTTCCACTAACAAGACAGACAGACAGACCCTGGCCAGGTCTTCCACCAACAAGACAGACAGACAGACCCTGGCCAGGTCTTCCACTAACAAGACAGGCATACAGACAGACAGACCCTGGCCAGGTCTCCCACTAACAAGACAGGCATACAGACAGACAGACCCTGGCCAGGTCTTCCACCAACAAGACAGACAGACAGACCCTGGCCAGGTCTCCCACTAACAAGACAGACAGACAGACCCTGGCCAGGTCTTCCACCAACAAGACAGACAGACAGACCCTGGCCTGGTCTTCCACCAACAAGACAGGCATACAGACAGACAGACCCTGTCCAGGTCTCCCACTAACAAGACAGGCATACAGACAGACAGACCCTGTCCAGGTCTTCCACCAACAAGACAGACATACAGACCCTGGCCAGGTCTTCCACCAAAAAAGAGACAGGAAGTAGGGATGGCGGTGTGTGTTAGAAGGGTGAGGGCACTACCCATTAGACTAGACCAGACTACCCCAGGCCACTGCACTGGTCTTTACAGGGTTGGGGTCAATTCCAGTCAACTCAGAAAGTAAACAAAATTCCAATTGTTCTTAATTAAAAAGCATTGAAGAGAATTATAATTGTAATTTCAGTGTATTTCCTGAATTGACTGGAATTTTAAAGGACTGGTAAATGAGTAAAAGGTCAAAGTAAAACTCTCTTCTTCCTGTTTAGGTCAATGACACATTCCTATTGGACGTCTCCAACGGTGTCACAGAGGTCAACAGTATCAGGATGTCCGTGGACATAATCCCCCGCCTCATCCCTCTCCAGGTATTCTTGTTGTTATTGTTGTAGAATTATTGTGCTATCATACATTTTATGTACGTTTGTAAATTGGTGTATAATTCATCCATACCACTACAGGTGTCCAATTTCACCCTGAGAGAGGGCGGGTCCAAGGCCTTGACCCAGGAAGTGCTCAGGGTCACCAACCGACACTTCTCTGGCCTCAACTTCCAATATATTCTGACTGAGCCGCCACAGAACGGATACATAGAACATTCACGTAACCCCGGTGCTCCTGTGCTGTCTTTCACCAGACGCCAGGTAATGCTCTGTTGTTCTCTCTTTCTGTCATGTTGAACAAGGAGACATTCAAATACTGTAAATTGTAATTCTCCAATGATTTTACATATTTCGATTGTTTTAGCGAATGATATCAGACAAGAAAATATATTTACACACAACCTAAAAAAAAACAATAATATATGAGTACTTCAGGATCCTTGGTTTAGTTTAGATGATCTGGAGTGATCAATCTAATACCACATTATAAGCAATTCATAGACACTTATAACAAGTCTTATAATGCGTTATGACAGCTTCATAATGCATTATACCTGTATGCCTTAAGTAAAATGTTACCTCTAACTTCTTCACCTCGTGATTTTTCATAGACACTCAAAGACACCTTACATTAATATACACCTTACTGTATATATATTTTCTGTTGTATTTTTTGACTTTATGTTTTGTTTTACCCCATATGTAACTCTGTGTTGTTGTTGTTTTTATCGCACTGCTTTGCTTTATCTTGGCCAGGTCGCAGTTGTAAATGAGAACTTGTTCTCAACTGGCTTACCTGGTTAAATAAAGGTGAAATAAAAAATAAATACAATTAAATAAAAATAACATTAAAATCAAAGTTTCTAACTCCATTTTGACCCTCATGCCCCTCAAGGTGGAGCAGGAGTTAATCTACTACATCCATGACAGCAGTGAGACGTTAGAAGACAACTTCACTGTGGTGGCCAACGACACAGGCCTGAGGAAGCAGAGCTCTCCCTGCACCGCGTACATCCAGGTCACAGCCGTCAACGACCAGCCTCCAGTCATCACTGCCAACCGGGTGCTCAGGGTGAGTCCTCCAGTCATCACTGACCAACACGGTCCTCAGGGTGAGTCCTCCAGTCATCACTGACCAACACGGTCCTCAGGGTGAGTCCTCCAGTCATCACTGACCAACAGGGTCCTCAGGGTGAGTCCTCCAGTCATCACAGACCAACACGGTTCTCAGGGTGAGTCCTCCAGTCATCACAGACCAACAGGGTCCTCAGGGTGAGTCCTCCAGTCATCACAGACCAACAGGGTCCTCAGGGTGAGTCCTCCAGTCATCACAGACCAACAGGGTCCTCAGGGTGAGTCCTCCAGTCATCACAGACCAACACGGTCCTCAGGGTGAGTCCTCCAGTCATCACAGACCAACACGGTCCTCAGGGTGAGTCCTCCAGTCATCACAGACCAACACGGTCCTCAGGGTGAGTCCTCCAGTCATCACTGACCAACAGGGTCCTCAGGGTGAGTCCTCCAGTCATCACAGACCAACACGGTCCTCAGGGTGAGTCCTCCAGTCATCACTGACCAACAGGGTCCTCAGGGTGAGTCCTCCAGTCATCACAGACCAACACGGTCCTCAGGGTGAGTCCTCCAGTCATCACTGACCAACACGGTCCTCAGGGTGAGTCCTCCAGTCATCACTGACCAACACGGTCCTCAGGGTGAGTCCTCCAGTCATCACTGACCAACAGGGTCCTCAGGGTGAGTCCTCCAGTCATCACAGACCAACAGGGTCCTCAGGGTGAGTCCTCCAGTCATCACAGACCAACACGGTCCTCAGGGTGAGTCCTCCAGTCATCACAGACCAACACGGTCCTCAGGGTGAGTCCTCCAGTCATCACAGACCAACAGGGTCCTCAGGGTGAGTCCTCCAGTCATCACAGACCAACAGGGTCCTCAGGGTGAGTCCTCCAGTCATCACAGACCAACACGGTCCTCAGGGTGAGTCCTCCAGTCATCACAGACCAACACGGTCCTCAGGGTGAGTCCTCCAGTCATCACAGACCAACAGGGTCCTCAGGGTGAGTCCTCCAGTCATCACAGACCAACACGGTCCTCAGGGTGAGTCCTCCAGTCATCACAGACCAACACGGTCCTCAGGGTGAGTCCTCCAGTCATCACTGCCGACAGGGTTCTCAGGGTGAGTCCTCCAGTCATCACTGCCAACAGGGTCCTCAGGGTGAGTCCTCCAGTCATCACTGACCAACACGGTCCTCAGGGTGAGTCCTCCAGTCATCACTGACCAACAGGGTCCTCAGGGTGAGTCCTCCAGTCATCACAGACCAACACGGTCCTCAGGGTGAGTCCTCCAGTCATCACAGACCAACACGGTCCTCAGGGTGAGTGGTGTGAGATGATCGGGATATATTTAGTCAACCCTGGCTGTGTCTCGAATGGCACTCTATTCCATACATAGTGCACTACTTTTGACCAGAGCCCTATGTCTAAAGTAGTGCACTATATAGGGAATAGGGTGCCATTCTCTGGTCTAAAGTAGTGCACTATATAGGGAATAGGGTGCCATTCTCTGGTCTAAAGTAGTGCACTATATAGGGAATAGGGTGCCATTCTCTGGTCTAAAGTAGTGCACTATATAGGGAATAGGGTGCCATTCTCTGGTCTAAAGTAGTGCACTATATAGGGAATAGGGTGCCCTTTGGGATGCGGCCTGACTGGCGGCTGGGTGGCTCTGGCAGTTCGTCTCTGGCACCGAGTCAACGTTCATTCAATATGCTTCATGATGTGGGCAGGCAGGCAGTGTTGGGACTGGGCTGGGGGAGGCTAAGGCTGGCTGGGGGAGGCTAAGGCTGGCTGGGGGAGGCTAAGGCTGGCTGGGGGAGGCTAAGGCTGGCTGGGGGGAGGCTAAGGCTGGCTGGGGGAGGCTAAGGCTGGCTGGGGGAGGCTAGGCTGGCTGGGGGAGGCTAAGGCTGGCTGGGGGAGGCTAAGGCTGGCTGGGGGAGGCTAAGGCTGGCTGGGGGAGGCTAAGGCTGGCTGGGGGAGGCTAAGGCTGGCTGGGGGAGGCTAAGGCTGGCTGGGGGAGGCTAAGGCTGGCTGGGGGAGGCTAGTGGTAAGGTATGCCAGCTATGTGGAGGAGGATCCCAAAACAGACTGTCTGTGATGCCCAGCAGCTTTCTTACTCATTGGGAAGACAACATTGTAAAAGGATAGTGCAGTGAACTGGAATAAGTCTATTTAAAGGTTGGGAAATGGAAACAGTCGTGTTGCTATTTGAATCAAGGAGGTGACTAGTAGACGAGATCATCTGGAGCATAAATAACGGAGTTTCAGTTAAATTAGTTGTGGAGTTTAACTTCCGGAAGAGAGTGCAGTTGAAATAGTCCAATGGAAATGAACCCGATAAAATAAACGACATATCAACAGTCTAGGTCACTGGATTAATTCTGTTGGTTCCTAGCCTGCATCTATAATACATCTTATAGAACTCAAATCATATATAACCTGTCCTATAGGACTGGTGGTAGGACAGGGCCTGTCCTATAGGACTGCTGGCACTGAGCACCCTATTCCCAATAGGGCTTTGGTCTAAAGTAGTGCACTATAAAAGGTTTGGTGTGCCATTTAGGACGAAGGCATGGCGTCCTGCAGTATAGCTGTCTGTCCATCTGCTAGCTCGTTATAGACACGCCACAGGAGGCTGGCAGCACCTTTAATTGGGGAGAACGGGCTCGCGGTAATGACTGGAGCGGAATCAGTGGAATGGCATCAAATGTATATCAAACACAGGGTTTCCAGCTGTTTGATGCCAGTCCATTAGCGCCGTTCCAGGACGTTATTACAGCCTCCTGTGTGACACGCTCAGTTGAGTGACTGGAGACGTGTGTGTGTGTGTGTGTGTGTGTGTGTGTGTGTGTGTGTGTGTGTGTGTGGCTGTGTGTGTGTGTGTGTGTGTGTGGCTGTGCTAATGTGTAGTTGGGCTGAATTCCAGCTGTTCAAGGTGATTGAAGTACCAGCAGGTAGAGTTTTGTTTTGTTCTCGTTAGTGCTTTACCCTGAATGCCACACATTCCTCTAAGCTCTTCTCTTGCTTCAGACCCTCTAATTGAAAGACGGGGCTTCCCTTCCTTCCACACACCGTGGTTGCATCTCAAATGGTACCCTATTCCCTATATAGTGCACTACTTTAGACCAGAGAATGGCACCCTATTCCCTATATAGTGCACTACTTTAGACCAGAGAATGGCACCCTATTCCCTATATAGTGCACTACTTTAGACCAGAGAATGGCACCCTATTCCCTATATAGTGCACTACTTTAGACCAGAGAATGGCACCCTATTCCCTATATAGTGCACTACTTTAGACCAGAGAATGGCACCCTATTCCCTATATAGTGCACTACTTTAGACCAGAGAATGGCACCCTATTCCCTATATAGTGCACTACTTTAGACCAGAGAATGGCACCCTATTCCCTATATAGTGCACTACTTTAGACCAGAGAATGGCACCCTATTCCCTATATAGTGCACTACTTTAGACCAGAGAATGGCACCCTATTCCCTATATAGTGCACTACTTTAGACCAGAGAATGGCACCCTATTCCCTATATAGTGCACTACTTTAGACCAGAGAATGGCACCCTATTTCCTATATAGTGCACTACTTTAGACCAGAGAATGGCACCCTATTCCCTATATAGTGCACTACTTTAGACCAGAGAATGGCACCCTATTCCCTATATAGTGCACTACTTTAGACCAGAGAATGGCACCCTATTCCCTATATAGTGCACTACTTTAGACCAGAGAATGGCACCCTATTCCCTATATAGTGCACTACTTTAGACCAGAGAATGGCACCCTATTCCCTATATAGTGCACTACTTTAGACCAGAGAATGGTACCCTATTCCCTATATAGTGCACTACTTTAGACCAGAGAATGGCACCCTATTCCCTATATAGTGCACTACTTTAGACCAGAGAATGGCACCCTATTCCCTATATAGTGCACTACTTTAGACCAGAGAATGGCACCCTATTCCCTATATAGTGCACTACTTTAGACCAGAGAATGGCACCCTATTCCCTATATAGTGCACTACTTTAGACCAGAGAATGGTACCCTATTCCCTATATAGTGCACTACTTTAGACCAGAGAATGGCACCCTATTCCCTATATAGTGCACTACTTTAGACCAGAGAATGGCACCCTATTCCCTATATAGTGCACTACTTTAGACCAGAGAATGGTACCCTATTCCCTATATAGTGCACTACTTTAGACCAGAGAATGGCACCCTATTCCCTATATAGTGCACTACTTTAGACCAGAGAATGGCACCCTATTCCCTATATAGTGCACTACTTTAGACCAGAGAATGGCACCCTATTCCCTATATAGTGCACTACTTTAGACCAGAGAATGGCACCCTATTTCCTATATAGTGCACTACTTTAGACCAGAGAATGGCACCCTATTCCCTATATAGTGGCACTACTTTAGACCAGAGAATGGCACCCTATTCCCTATATAGTGCACTACTTTAGACCAGAGAATGGCACCCTATTCCCTATATAGTGCACTACTTTAGACCAGAGAATGGCACCCTATTCCCTATATAGTGCACTACTTTAGACCAGAGAATGGTACCCTATTCCCTATATAGTGCACTACTTTAGACCAGAGAATGGCACCCTATTCCCTATATAGTGCACTACTTTAGACCAGAGAATGGCACCCTATTCCCTATATAGTGCACTACTTTAGACCAGAGAATGGCACCCTATTCCCTATATAGTGCACTACTTTAGACCAGATAATGGCACCCTATTCCCTATATAGTGCACTACTTTAGACCAGAGAATGGCACCCTATTCCCTATGTAGTGCACTACTTTTGACCAAAACCCTATGGGCCCTGGTCTCTTCTCACACCTTCTGTATACGGGCCCCTGGTCAAAAGTAGTGCACTATATAGGGAATAGGGTGCCATTCTCTGGTCTAAAGTAGTGCACTACATAGGGAATAGGGTGCCATTCTCTGGTCTAAAGTAGTGCACTATATAGGGAATAGGGTGCCATTCTCTGGTCTAAAGTAGTGCACTACATAGGGAATAGGGTGCCATTCTCTGGTCTAAAGTAGTGCACTATATAGGGAATAGGGTGCCATTCTCTGGTCTAAAGTAGTGCACTATATAGGGAATAGGGTGCCATTCTCTGGTCTAAAGTAGTGCACTATATAGGGAATAGGGTGCCATTCTCTGGTCTAAAGTAGTGCACTATATAGGGAATAGGGTGCCATTCTCTGGTCTAAAGTAGTGCACTATATAGGGAATAGGGTGCCATTCTCTGGTCTAAAGTAGTGCACTATATAGGGAATAGGGTGCCATTCTCTGGTCTAAAGTAGTGCACTATATAGGGAATAGGGTGCCATTCTCTGGTCTAAAGTAGTGCACTATATAGGGAATAGGGTGCCATTTGGGACACGAGTGTTCTAGTCAGGTTTTCTCTTCTAGTCATAGTTCAAGCCTTTAATCTTAGAGCAATATAGATCGATTGTCAAACATCTCATAACATTGATTTAAAGAATAATTTCCATCCAGTAAGACTGTCAGATGCATGATATACATTTAAGTATGTTATATCTTCTATGATAAGCTTCTGATCAAGGTTATATGTGTTGTCGGATTGTTGTAGCTCGGACATAGTGGTAATACGTCTACATTTAAAAAAACGTAGTATTTAATATTGAAGTTGGATCCGTGATCTGGTAGACACAGAGACTGGGCTCACAACAGACAACAGACCCATACGTAAAAAATGTATGCACACATGACTGTAAGTCGCTGTGGATAAAAGCGTCTGCTAAATGGCATATTATTATTATTATTATTATTATTGTTATTATGTCTTTCAAGTATTGGGGATGTCCACAAGGTGGCGCTCTGTAACCACTTTACTCACACTATGGTTTTACTGTGAGTCCCTCTACACAAGTTCTGGAGTTACTGTTTGAAATTAAATAGTGATATTACTTTAAATAAGTTCGACAATAACTAAATAAATGACTCTGCTTTGAGAACAATGGACACAAGTGGACCCGGAATTCTAATTTTCTTGAGAAAAGAGAAGTAACGCATTTTGGGTTAACTTTTTTTTCTGAACTCCAAGCACAGATAGGACACATGGACATTAATTTCCCTTAGTCATTAATCATGCAAACGCATTAATTTTTTTATTGTGACACGTGTCAGTGAGATTCAAACCTACGATCTTCTGTTCTCTATCACTGGAATTAGTTCACTGCGCCACCAGGATGGAGCTAAGCTTGACGTGTTCTTTAACACGTACAAAGCTGTTCGTTTGAGTCTATTCAAACAGACTCCATTTCAAAGGAAACAAGAACTCATTAAGATCAGGTGTGTCCAATTAGTGGGCGCGGCCAACACACCTGAACACACTTAACAAGATAGAGGCTAGAGAAATGTGTATGTTTTTAAATAAAGCAATTGTACACGAGGGCGTGCTTAAACGAGGCCGAGTCGAGCCAAACCAAATGTTAGGCTAAAAGCAAGGGGAAATAATGTCTAGATGCTTTTTACAGTGAAGATCAAGTTAATGAATTGGCTAGTGGGCAGTGGTGTAAAGTAATTAAGTAAAAAATACTACTTAAGTTTTCTGTACTTTACTTTAATAATTATATTTTTGACAACTTTTACTTCACTACATTCCTAAAGAAAATAATGTACTTTTTACTCCATACATTTTCCCTGACACCCAAAAGGACTCGTTACATTTTGACAGGAAAATGGTACCATTCACGCACTTATGAAGAGAACATCCCTGGTCATCCCTACTGCCTCTGATCTGGCGGACTCACTAAACACAAATGTTTTGTTTGTAAATGATGTCTGAGTGTTGGAGCGTGCCCCTGGCTATCCGCAAATAAATAAATAAACAAGAAAATGGTGCCGTCAGGTTTGCTTAATATAAGGAATTTTTAATAATTAATTATTTTACTTTTACTTTTGATACTTAAGTATATTTAAAACCAAATACTTTTAGACTTTCACTCAAGTAGTATTTTACTGGGTGACTTTCACTTTTACTTGAGTCATTTTCTATTAAGGTATCTTTCCTTTTATTCAAGTATGACTTATGAGTACTTTTTCCAACACTGCAAGTGGGAAACTCAGAGCTTATTATACGAGTTTCCAAGTCAGAAATGTCAAGAGTTTCAGAGTTCCGAGTTGTCTTAAAAGCGGTATTAGTCCTGACATGAAAAGACAAACTACAGGTCAGAGGACAGTCCAGTGTTAATTACAGCTGTTAGTGCTGTTTCAAATACCCCTTAGGTGCACTAAGCAGGCTTCACTTACTAACTTGCTTCCAACAACAGTTGGGTCTCGGCTGGGTTACAGTAAAGCCCTTTGTGACAAATGTTGTTGTGAAGAGGGCTTTTAATCGACCAATTAAAAAATATGTTGAAAACAAAAGGCCTTTTAAATGTGATTGATTTGGTTGTCTCCTCAGGTGTGGATTTTGGTCAGTGATGGATATAATGATTTGATTGGTTGCCTCCTCAGGTGTGTGAGTGATTTGATTGGTTTGTCTCTCCAGGTGTGGGTGGGGTCAGTCACAGAGTTCCTCCCTGAGGACCTGAATGCCCAGGATGAGGACACGCCCCCTGAGGAGCTGCAGGTGATAGTGACTCCGCCCTCTAATGGCCACCTGGCGCTGAAGAGCGCCCCCTCCAGGCCGCTCCTGAACTTCACCCTGAAACACATCCATCTGGGACAGCTGCTGTTCGTCCACAGTGGTAAGACCTGATCCTAAACCTGTAACAAACTTAGCCTTCTAGTGGAATTGGATGTAGCAGTAGATACCAGAGGGGTATACTATAGTAGTTGGATGTAGTACATGTAGAACCCTCTGTGGAAAGGGTTCCACCTGGAACCAAAAGGGTTCCACCTGGAATCCAAAAGGGTTCTACCTGGAACCCAAAAGGGTTCTACCTGGAACCAAAAAGTGTTTATTTTTTATTTTTTTTAGGTCATTTAGCAGACGCTCTTATCCAGAGCGACTTACAGGAGCAATTAGGGTTAAGTGCCTTGCTCAAGGGCACATCAACAGATTTTTCACCTAGTTGGCTCAGGGATTAGAACCAGCGACCTTTTGGTTACTGGCACAATGCTCTTAACAACTGAGCTACCTGCCGTGTACTCCTATGGGGGACAAGCGAAGAACCCTTTTACGTTCTAGATAGCACCTTTTTTTCTAAAAGTGTAGGATCATGTCCCCCCCCCCTGTACACATAATCTTATTCATTATGATCTAAAAGGCTAAACTGATTCTAGATCATTACTCTTACTCTGAGATGTTTGATAACTACGGGCCCATGAAGCCTATTGTCTTGGGGCAGAAGGTAATCAGTGCTGTTTGTTTGTGTTGTTCCCACTAAAAGGTGCCATGTCTGGAGGGTTCAACTTCCAGGTGAACGACGGAGTAAACTTTGCCCCCCGCCAGATCTTCAGCATCACAGCCAGCGCCCTGGTCCTCAGCCTGGAGATCAACAGACCTCTCAAGGTGTTCCCAGGTAACTAACTCCTCCCTTTATAGAGGTAGTTCCTCCCCTTAACTAGCTCCTCACCCCTCCCTGGTAACCCAGGCCCTTAATCAGGTAGCTTCTCCCCTTAGCAACGTGAGGTGCGTTTGTACTGAACGACACGTTTCCCCCAAAAAAATGTTCTCGTATGTTCTTGAACAGGCTTTGAGGTACGTTTTGCTCCTGTTTGGTGGGTGTGGCGAGGTGTGTGGTTTGAAGCAATGAGTGACGTATTTAAAGAGAAGTGGCCATGCTGAAAGCGGTCCCCAACTGGTCGTTCAGTACAGACCGTGTCCGTTCCATTGAACGTTCCGGAATGTAAAAACGTACTGAACGAAGCTCTGGTACTCAATCTGTAGAACAACAGACCCTTCAAGGTGTTCCCAGCACTGGAGGATGGTGGGAGGAGCTATGGAAGGACGTGCTCATTGTAATGGCTGGAATGGACTAACCGGGTAACCCACAGTAACCCCTCCTTTAGATAGATAGTTCTACTGCATTTGCCCAATCACAAATGGACTCCTAGCCTCTACCCCCTATGCACTGGTAGATATGTGAAAGGCAGTGGAGGCTCCTCAGAGGGGGAAGGGGAGGACCATCCTCAGTGAATTTAATAAGAATAGGTGTAGCCGGAGGACAGTTAGCTTCTGTCCTCCTCTGGGTACATTGACTTCAATACAAAACCTAGGAGGCTCATGGTTCTCACCCCCTTCCATAGACTTACACAGTAATTGTGACAACTTCCGGAGGACGTCCTCCAACCTATCAGAGCTGACATGTTGTCCACCCAACCAAAGGATCAGAGAATGAATCTAGTACTGAAAGCATAAGCTACAGCTAGCACTGCACTGCAGTGCATAAAATGTGGTGAGTAGTTGACTCAAAGAGAGAGAAAGACAATAGTTGAACAGTTTTAAACAAATGCATTTCTTCCTAAATTAAGGAGAAGCAAGAGAGAGAGAGAGAGAGAGAGAGAGAGAGAGAGAGAGAGAGAGAGAGAGAGAGAGAGAGAGAGAGAGAGAGAGAGAGAGAGAGCTAGCTATATTTCGTAGTATATATTTTTTTCATTTTCACTTACTTAGCTAGCATCGAATGCAGCTGAACATACCTGCATTTGTCCAATAGAAACAATCGTTTGTTGGACTGCTAGATGCAGGCAAGAGTGTGCAATGCGGTATTGAATGTGTCACGGTCTGTCACCTTGATTACTCAAAATTCTCTCGACCTGTGCTCCTACGTTATAAACTTTAATTCGTAGGCTAGGTTGTAGCAACCTCATGATGGGTACAGGGAACATTAGAGTATTATGTAGTAGCCTAAACCTATTGATGTTATGTTGAGCTGGGTAAAAAAAAAGAAAATCCTCCCTCTTCTTAAACGGCACCGAACGCCACTGGTGAAATGACTAAATAGATTAATCAGATCTTTTTTTAGAATGTGTATAAATTGAACTTCCTCATTCTGGTCAAATGCTATGATCTGTGACTGGTTAGGTTTCAGACAGGAAACCTACCATTTGACCAATATAGTGATTTTCTCAGTAACTTCACTTAGTCTCATGTATTGCTAAATACAAAGATGGTTGGTAGCATCTGTATACGAGTCTGTCAAGTATAAAACCACAGTTCCTTCATTGCGTTCTATAACTGTTCTGAAAAGATTAACTGAACACATCTCTCTCTCTCTCTCTCTCTCTCTCTCTCCTCTTTTCCTCTCTCCTCTCTCTCTCTCTCTCCTCTCTCTCCTCATCTCTCTCTCTCCTCATCTCTCTCTTCTCTCTCTCTTTCTCTCTCTCTCTCTCGCTCTCCTCTCTCTCTCTCGCACAAAAGGAACTAGTATTCTCTCTTCTATTTCTATAATCTTTCTTCTTCTTTTTTATTTCCCCTTCTATATTCAATGTAAATGTTTTAGTTCCTTCAATTGACAGTAATATTGACAAAAATCTACCCCCATCAATGTCAGTATTTCCCTGAACATTTCAGTTGAAAGACTTTAATTGCAAAATAAAACAATTGCTGACCTGGGTGTGAGGGAGAGAGGACAGTTACGGTTGACTCATGAAGGTTTGCCAGTCATACGTGCCAGGACAGTCAAAGTTTGGCTATATGTGTGTACATAGTTTTATAAACCATATCACAGACCTCCTCTGTGTGATCAGTGTACGAAACATTAATATTGAGATGCACCCCCCCTTTTTGCCATCAGAACAGCCTCAATTTGTCGCGGCATGGACTCTACAAGGTGTTCGAAAGCGTTCCACAGGAATGATGGCCCCATGTTGACTCCAATGCTTCCCACGGTTGAGTCAAGTTGGCTGGATGTCCTTTTGGGTGGTGGACCGTTCTTGATGCACACGGGAAACTGTTGAGCGTGAAAAACCCAGCAGCGTTGTAGTTCTTGACACAAACCGGTGCGCCTGGCAACTACTACCATACCCCGTTCAAAGGCACTTTAATATTTTGTCTTGCCCATTCACCCTCTGAATGGCACACGTACACAATCCAAGTCTCAATTGTCTCAAGGCTTAAAAATCCTTCTTTAACCTGTCTCCGCCCCTTCATCTACACTGATTTGAAGTGGATTTAACAGGTGACATCAATAAGGGATGATAGCTTTCACCTGGATTCACCTGGTCAGTCTATGTCCTGGAAAGAGCAGGTGTTCTTAATGTTTTGTACACTCAGTGTATATACACATAATTTGAACTGGTGTCTGCTGCTGTGGGAACCTATATTGAATAAAAGTAGAAAATAAAAGCTCCGAGGACTGGCACAGACAGAGATGAGATCAGGCTGTTCACAATGGAATCTGAGACGAGCCCGCCTGGTTTATCCTGTCAAGGGGACACCTCCCCTCTCTTAAGCCTAGGGCCAACATTGAGTAACTTCTACACCCAGAACCAAAATCAAAACGTTTGATTTGTCGCAAGAGACTAAACATTGAAAGCCTCCACCCAACACTAGTCTATGGTCTTCTCTACTGTATGTAACCTTAGTTATCTATTCAAACTAATCTTATAGTCAAAATCCATTTGATTGAATAACCCAGGGGGCTAACCCTAGCTCGGCTCGGCCACAGTGAGTCGTCGTTAAAGCACCAAAAGGATGGAATCATCATTTCATCACTGCTTTATTTAGGAACAGAGGAGTCATACTCTACTTTTAATACCCAGACTGACTGACCCAGCTAAATATAGACTGACTGACCCAGCCCTGTGCTTTGTTTGCTAGCTGGCGTACACACTACACACTATACACACTAAGAGTTTTAGGGAGCGTTTGACAGTGATGAGGGGTGGTCGTTTGACCGCGGACCCATTACGGACGCAAGCATTAAGGCAGTGATCGCTGAGATCCTGGTTGAAGACAGCGGAGGTGTATTTAGAGGGTAAGTTAGTCAGGATGATGTCTATGAGGGTACCCATGTTTACGGATTTAGGGTTGTACCTGGTAGGTTCGTTGATAATTTGTGTGAGATTGAGGGCATCTAGTTTAGATTGTAGGACGGCCGGGGTGTTAAGCATATCCCAGTTTAGGTCACCAAGCAGTACGAACTCTGAGGATAGATCGGGGGCAATCAGTTCACATATGGTGTCCAGGGCACAGCTCGGGGCTGTGGGGGGTCTGTAGCAAGCGGCAACAGTGAGAGACTTATTTCTGGAAAGGTGGATTTTTAGAAGTAGGAGCTCAAACTGTTTGGGCACAGACCTGGATAGTACGATAGAGCTCTGCAGGCTATCTCTACAGTAGATTGCAACCCCACCCCCTTTGGCAGTTCTATCGAGACGGAAAATGTTGTAGTTGGGGATGGACATTTCTGCATTTTTGGTGGCCTTCCTATGCCAAGATTCAGACACTGCTAGAACATCAGGGTTGGCGGAGTGTGCTAACGCAGTGAATAGCTCAAACTTAGGGAGGAGGCTTCGGATGTTAACGTGCAAGAAACCAAGGCTTTTACGGTTACAGAAGTCAACAAATGATAACGCCTGGGGAGAAGGAGTGATACTGGGGGCTACAGGGCCTGGGTTAACCTCTACATCACCATAGGAACAGAGGAGGAATAGAATAAGGATACGGCTAAAGGCTTTAAGAACTGGTCTTCTGGTGCGTTGGGTACAGAGAAAAAAAGGGGCAGATTTCCGGGCGTTATAGAATAGATTCAGCCCATTATGTACAGACAAGGATATGGAAGGATATGAGTACAGTGGAGGTAAACCTAAGCGTTGGGTTACGATGAAAGAGATAGCATCACTGGAGGCACCAATTGAGCCGGTCTCCGCGTGTATGGTGGGTGGGACAAAGGAGCTATCTAAGGCAGGTTGAGCTGGGCTGGGGGATCTACAGTGAAATAGTACAATAAGAAATAACCGAAACAGCAATAAGCAAGGCATATTGACATGGGAGAGAGGCATAAAGCAATCACAGGTGTAATTTGAGAGAGCTAAGACAACAGCTGCTAATGACGACACAGTTTGGGCTGAGGCTAAACATAAACAGGATGCGGTACCGTATAAAGGAACAGTCCAGCAGGCATCAGCTGTATAGCTGAGTTATCATAAGGTCCGGTGAACAGCAATAGAAGAGTTCGGAGGTAGTTCGGAGCTTCTACAGCACTGGCGAGCAAGAGGCCACGGCTTGCATGTGCTAGCGGGCCGGGTCTAGCAGATGGATCTTCGTGGTCGACGTCGTAACGGGAAGCCTGTTGAAACCACATCAGACGATTTTGTCGGCAGACCAGTCGTGTTGGATCGGCGGGGCTCCGTGTCAACACTAGGAGGTCCCGTCCAGTTGACAGAGAGGTAGATAGCCGGGAGATGGGCCTGGCTCGAGGCTAGCTCAGGGCTGATTAGCCAACAACTACATCCATTTGGTTGCAGCTAGCTAGTTGCGATGATCCGGTATTAAAGGTCCAGTGATTCAGTGATTCCGGCAGAAAAACCGATATGTTCTGACAGAGTTATTGATGCAAGGACTGACCATCCAAGATATAA